AGAGCCCCGAGCCCCGGACGGGGGGTGGGGGGAGCCGAGAAAACGCCCCTGCACCCCCACCCGGGGAAAAAAAAATAAACACCCTCTAAAAAAAAAAAAAAAAAAAAAAAAAGAGCTTTTCTTTATGTAGATTTTCTTTAAAACTATTTACATATAAGTGAAAAGAAATTTTTAAAACATGAAAATATACAAGCATATACTTTATTAAACTGATAGATCAATGCCATCATCATAGCATTATATCCCTTTTGTAAAGGTCACTGTATGCATGTGAGAGAGCGAGTGAAAAGTTAAATAATGTCTTAGCATTATTATGAAAATAGTGTTGAAAGGGTCAAAGGGAACCTGAAATGCAAGCTTCTGGGGGAACCTTAGGTTCTTGGAAGTCTCCCCCTAATCCTCCACAAGTCTCTGGTCGATAGTTAGGTGCTTGGGTTTTTGCTTATGACAAAAGTATGTTTTAAATTTTCTTATATCCTAGCATTATCTAAATTAGGTTAGATAAAAATAACATTTTTGGACAGAAACTTTAAAAACTGTGCAGTTAAGATTATAGTTTTTGTAATTGAAAAATTAATGTCAGATGAGAATAGTAGTCTTAGATTCCTTATTCCCTGAGTATAAACTTTTAGAGCAAAACTCTGTGTGTAAATATAAAGGAATAACATTTGGCTTTGGCTGCTGGTAATGATTTAGAAATGCTAGCTACATAAGACCATATCCTGGTAAAATGGGTAACATGAAAGTTTTCAATTTTCCTAAAAACAAAAGCTTATGATCTCTTTAGTCTGTCCTGCAAAATAGATAACAATTCCTGAGAAATGCTTTTATTCTTGGGTGGTATTGTTTATAAGCAATACCATGCAATTTCCTAACATCTGCCTAGCTTGAGTTCAATGTACTTCTCAGGTATATTAGTGGTAACTTAGGTGAAGTAGTAGAAAGTGCTTAGTTTTATGAGAGGAGCCTGGTAGATTAACCATATATTGTTAAGGCCAATTATTTGGGCTAGTTATTATCAAGGGTGGTAAGTACCCATCATGTCTATCACTAGATTCATATCTGCCACTGAAGGAAGATACTACTAATCAGGTATAGCTCTTGTTCATGCAGAGTATCCATTTGGTGTAATCTGTTTACGTAATACTCCAGCTGGCTACTGTGACATGGGATCACAGCATTATTTCATGTCTTGCCATCTTTTCGTTCTTGAAACTCTATTTTCTCTTTTCTTTAATGTCACTGGTCTCATTTTTAGTCACGTTTGTTCTCCTTTTTAGTCACATTTATACTCCTTAACTTCTCTTCTGCTTAAATTTTAAATATTCAAGGTCTTAAGTCCCAGGACTTTGTCTTGCTCATCCATTCCTGTGGCCATAAACAGCTTCCAAATGCTAACGAGTTTCAGATTTGTAGCTTTACTTCAGATTTACCTTCTGAGCTCCAGGGAACTCTGAGCTGCCTTCTTGAAATCACTGCTTGTGATTTCAAGGGACTCACAGCTTTTTAAAACTTAAGTATCCAAAGTGGAAGTCTTCCTCCATATCCTGTCTACATTTTAGTCTTCATCCTAGTAAGTGGTATGATCATCTAGTAAATTTTTGAAATCTCAAGTTCTTCAAGAGGCTTACCGGGGTCACATGTGGCCTTATTTACCTCTCTAGCCTTCATGCCAAGCAATGTCAAGGAAAACCAGAGCTGGACAGTAAAGTGTAAAAAAAACAGACTATCTAGCAACTGTTGCAGTAGGGGAAATGTGACCTCAGTATAGAACCAAACTCAATTCTGAGTACAAAAACAAGTTGGGATTTATAGCTCAGGAGTAGGCTGGAGATCAGTGGATGGAAAATTACTAAGATGAAACATCAGGTGTAAGGGGGAATTCTGGTTAAACAGACTTAATAGAGTTCTTGTTGAAAGCAGGCTGGGATGTTCAGACACAAAGGATGGGGACTGAGGAATTTGATCATTTATAGCGAGTGAGAGAGTTCTGCTTAACCCACTGGATAGAGTTCTTGCTAAAAGTGTGATGAATAAATGAACAGACATGGAAACCCAAAGGTTAAGGCGTAAATGGTTAGAGGATTCAGAGGAGCCTATGTTTGGTCAAGGATACTCCAGCCACACTGGCATTTCCCCCCCCAAGTGCCATTTTCCTCCCTACTTGTCTAATGTGCTTTTTTTCCTCTATTAAGAATGATTCGTCTTACTCTATCAGCTAAATTGTATTCATTCTTCATGTCTCACTTCATGTTACTTCCTTAGGGATGGCCTCCCTGACCACCCAATCTAAAGCCCCTTTATAATTCCCTGTTATTATAGATAGTATCCACTTGTTTTCCTTCATAGCGTTTACCATATTTTAAGATGGTAATTTGGTTGTTGTGTTTCTTATTCGATACCTCTTTCTCCAAGATTAATTGTAAGTCTAATGAGGACAGATACTATATCTGTATTTATCATAATTATATACTTAGTGCTTAACATAATACCTGGCACACTGCAGGTGTTCAGTCAGTCAGTTTTAATGCAAAAGGAAATCCATTTACCCTCTTCCTGGCTGTGGTGCACATGCCACTATAGCTTTTTTTTTTTTTTTTTTTTTTTTTTTTTTTTTTTGAAACTGAGTTTCGCTCCTGTTGCCCAGGCTGGAGTGCAATGGCATGATCTTGGCTCACCGCAAGCTCTGCCTCCCGGGTTCAAGTGATTCTTCTGCCTCAGCCTCCCGAGTAGCTGGGATTACAGGCATGCACCACCACGCTGGGTTAATTTTTTATTTTTAGTAGAGATGGGGTTTCTCCATATTGGTCAGGCTGATCTCAACTCCTGACTTCAGGTGATCTGCCCGCCTCGGCCTCCAAAAGTGCTGGGATTACAGGCGTGAGTCACTGCGCCCTGCCTTACTGCAGCTTCTTGAGGATTAAGTTGACTCCTAAGAGCCATGAATGAAAATCTGCCTTATTACATGAGGTTATTAAAATAAGTAGGATTTTAATAAGCACATATTTCTTTTAATATATTCCTCTTTTTGGCCAATATTTCATTTCATTTTGATTGAATCTAATTGAGTGAGGATAATTGCAGACCATGCATTCAGCAAGTCAGTTTTTTTTTTTCCTTTAGCTCTTTCTTTGTTTTGTCAGTTATTCTAAGATTCCTCAAAAGGTACTTTTGTTTCGATTAAATAACAAATGAAAAAGTTTTCATTTTCTTTGTATGGATACTTTGTATAGATTGTGTAAGCCACAGTCCTTGACATAATTGCTATTTATTGCGTCTACTTTCTTGCCATTACTGTGTTTTATTCCTTTAAAGATATGGCTTCAATGACTTTGTATCTTTTAGGCCAGATGTTTGATAGAGGGTATTGTCTTCTAAAAGTTGAGAGCTTAAAGTAGTAATTATGTGGAAGTGACAACTTTCTTGGAATATGTAGAGCTGTCACTAGGAGATTGAGTCATATAATTAGCCCTAGACTAACCAAACCCTTTAATGCAGCAGCTTAGAAGTTTTGTAATACGAATCAACTAATTGCACCAACTAATAAGAAACACAAAATTTAATCAAAAATTTTCCCCAGATGTTTTTTCTTCTTTGGAAAAGAAACAGTGGAAAAAGTGTGTTTTTGTGTGTGTGTGTGTGTGTGTGTGTGTGTGTGTGTGTGTGTGTGTGAATTTTCTCCTAACAGTGTGCATTTTAAAATTTGAACACATGGCCAAAGACTTAATTTGAATGAAGGAATTACATACATAAATACAGTTTTAAAGAAGTTAAAGACTAAAAGTAATCTTGAGTGAAGCCATTTTTTGTCATTTGGGACTGTAAAGTGTCTGCAAAGACATTTCAAAAAATTACTGGTGCCCTATTCGTGCTTTTTGGAAATAGTGATTCATCATGGGGGTAATCGTTGGCAGGCTTGTACAGCTTACAGAAGAGACTTGTACAGCTTACTGAAAATAAAGACCACCTTCTATGAACTTACACCAGAAAATGGCTCAAATAAATTAGAGATCTGGGAAGAAAAAAATAAATTGATCCTTTACTTAGAAAAATGAAATATCCGGTTAAGCTTGTTATTTAACCTCCCAGTGTTCTTTAAGAAATTCGATTTGATAAATTTATATGTTCCTGGCACTAAAGAATAAAGGGTAACTCCAGATATAAACACTGTATTTATAGAAACAGTACTAGATTCTTTGTTTGTTTGTTTTCTATTTATTTATCGAATGTCTGCTGTGTTTAAAACGGTGACCTTGAGAAGATGGGATGAGGAAGGTAAATATTTTTGAGGATAAATAATTCAATAGATAAGTTGACCAATTCCACTCATATAAAGGGTTCTAAAATACTTGCAGTCTATTAGAAAAATATAAGACAGCTGGGTGCAGTGGCTCACGCCTGAAATCTGAGGACTTTGGGGGGCTGAGGCAGGCGGATCACAAGATCAGGAGTTCGAGACTACCCTGACCAACATGGGGAAACCCCATCCCTACTGAAAATACAAAAATTAGCTGGGTATGGTGGTGCGTGCCTGTAATCCCAGCTACTCAGGAGGCTGAGGCAGGAGAATCACTTGAACCTGGGAGGCAGAGGTTGCAGTGAGCCAAGATCACACCACTAAACTCCAGCCTGGGCGACAGAGTGAGACTCTGTCTCAAAAAAGAAAAATATAAGACATGTAATTACAGAGCAAATATCAAGTGGTAAATGTTGTAGATACAGGGCATGAGTATTTCAAGCATGTTTCTGTTGGAATGATCAAGATTTATTTAATAGGATCATTGATTCTGTAGTCAGTTTTAAAGGAAGGGCAGAATATTAATACATAGGAGCATAAACAACTGTGAAGAATGAGAAGGTATATTCTAGAGCATGTTGAGTCAATTAACATATCTATTATTTTAAAAATGTTTATTAGGAAAGTATTCAAACACAGAACAGCATAGAGAATAATACAGTAGACATTTATGTTACAACCACTTAGATTTAACCAGTGTTGATAATGTACTGTAGTTTCTCTCTTTCTTTGCTTGAGGTAACAAATGTAAAATCAGTATGTATCATTTCCTTTTCTGTTTCTATAATTTTAATAAAGATAAGTGAATGCATAAACATTTTTAGTCTCATATTTTGTCTTTTTAAAATTGACATCAATGCTAACATACTAGAGCTATTGTCATGCTTTATTTCACTCCACAGTTGTTACTGTGGAGATGTGTCCAAGTTGATATAGGTAACTTTATCTCATTTATCTAGAATAATGCATAGTGGTTCATTTTTTTTTTTTAAGTAAGATTGTGTTGGTTATCAAGTTTCGCTTTCACATATATCATACTTAAGTAACAGCATTGTGTTAGAATATTTATATTGTGCTATTGATTTGAGAAATGCATTAAATTTTTTAATTTTTTTTTTTAGGAAATCCTTGCACGAGGAATTCTTCTTCCATTAATAAATCAACTCAGTGATCCTGATTATATTAATCAGTATGTCATATGGATGGTAAGTGCATTTTAAAATTACAACTCTGTTTTAGAAATATATATATATATATTTGTGGTTTTTTTTGAGATGGAGTCTCACTCTGTTACCCAGGCTGGAGTGCAGTGGTACAATCTTGGCTCACTGCAGCCTCTACCCACCAGGTTCAAGCAGTTCTCCTGCCTCAGCCTCCGAGCAGCTGGGATTACCGGCACCTGCCACTGCACCTGGCCAAGTTTTGTATTTTTAGTACAGGTGGGGTTTCACCATCTTGGCCAGGCTGGTCGTCAACTCCTGACCTCATGATCCACACACCTCAGCCTCCCAAAGTGTTGAGATTACAGGCATGAGCCACCATGCCTGGCCAGAAATAATTTTTTGAATGTAAAAGTACAGTTTGGAGATAAGATGTTTAAGCAATAATTCATAAAAGAAATTAAGCAAAAATGTTTCTGAAGTAATTTCTTCATTTCCAGTGTTTTTATTTGCCTATATTTTGAATGTATTGGCCAAATTCTCTTTAAGAATTTTGTTGATTGTCTTCTTTGCAGTTATGGTGCTACTACTATTTCTTTAAAAAAATATATTTTAATACCTGTATGTATAAATGATGAGTATTTTTAATGGCTACTATTTCATTTTAAGTACAGCTTGGGATTTGAACTACTTGACATTTAACTGACATTTTATACTGTATAATGGGGAATATATGGAGGACAAAACAGTAGAATGAAAATCAGAGAATCTGTGTTTTAGATGTTTCTGTAAGTTGCTTAGTGTCTGTAGTAGTTAACAGTTTTCTCCTGTCAGACGTATCAAAGAATTAATGATTACTAAGTTCACAAGCCCTATTTTTTTTCTTTATAGCATATGCTTCTCTTTAATAAACTAATGGTCAAGGAAGAGTTGTAAATGGGCTGCCTGCTGGGAATTCTTTGATATCTACTTCTAGATCTTTATTTTCTTAAATATGGGATTTCTTCTCTACTTTTGTCTTCCTTTAACTCTTTCTAGCTTTCTTAAGTAAGAATTACTTGTTCTTTGATTTATTTCCCTTAGGCATTGTCAGACTTGGCATTGTTTTATATTTTTACTTTATTTTTATTTATTTATTTTTGAGATGAAATCTCACTCTTTCACCCAGGCCAGAATGCAGTGGTGCAGTCTTGGCTCACTGCAGCCTCTGCCTCCCTGGCTCAAGTGATCCTCCCTCTTCAACCTCCCGAGTAGCTGGGACCACAGGCATGTACCACCGCATCCGGCTAATTTTTTTGTACTCTTGGTAGAGACAGGGTTTTGCTGTGTAGTCCTGACTGGTCATGAACTCCTAGCTCAAGTAGTCAACCTGCCTTGGCCTCCTGAAGAGCTGAGATTACATACAGGTGTGAGCCATTGTGCCTGGCTGCCCTTGTTTTATTATTGTCGTTGTTGCAGAGTTTACCCATTGACCAGACTGTGGACCTGCAGACAAAAATTGAGTTATTAATTATGCATTCCTAGAGCCTTTCCTGGAGACCATGGAACTTGATTCTTCTTTTTCTTTGTGAACTTTATAAGAGTTTGTATTAGGCACTATAAGAGCTTTAAAAATATGCATATGTGCACAATTAAAAATACTAAAAAATGAGTCTCCTTTGGCTAGGAATTCAGCTCTAAGAAGTTATTCTAAAGTGATAAAAAGCAAATTTGTGACTATATTTTTTAAAATTTTAACAAGTTTTTAATTTTTAAAAATTATGGATACATAAGTTGTAAATATTTATAGGTATGTGATACTTTGATATAAGTGTACAATTTGTAATGTTCAAATCAGGATAATTTGCGTATCCATCACATTTAGCACTTAGCACTTCTTTGCTTAGGAACATTCCAATCCACTCCTTTAGCTGTTTTGAAATGTGCAATAAAGTATTGTTAACTGTAGCCACCCTGTCATGCTACTGAATGGTAGATCTTATTCTTTCTGTGTTTTGTACCTATTAATCATTCTTTATTTCCCTTCCCACCCTCTGATAAAGAAACATTTGACACTCTGTCTCCATGAGTTCAGTCTTTGTTTTGTTTTTAGTTCCCACATGTTTGGCCTACTGTGCATGGTTAATTCAACTTAACATAATATCCCCCAGTCAATATTTGATTATTTTTCTTTTTTTTTTTTTTTTTTTTTTGGCTGAATAATAATCTGTTTTGTGTATCTACCTTGTTTTCTTTATCCATTTCTTTACATACTTGACAGCATTTGTTATTGCTTCTCTTTTGGATAAAAGCCATTTTAACTGGAGTGAAATAAAATGTCATTGTAGTTTTAACTTATATTTCTATGATGATAAGTGCTGTTGAGCATTTTTAAATAACCTGTTTGCCATTTATATGTTGTCTTTTGAGAAATGTCTATTCAGATTTTTGCCCATTTTTAATGGGATTTTGTTTTTCCTATTGAGTTGTTTGAGCGCCTCATATATTCTGGTTATTATTTCTTTGTCAGATGGGTAGCTTGCAAATATTTTCTCCTATTCTGTGGATTGTGTCTTCACTTTGTTGATCATTTCCTTTGCTGTGGAGAGGCCTTTTAGCTTGATGTGATCCCATTTGTACATTATTGCTTTGGTTCCCTATGCTTTTGAGGTCTGATGTAAGAAATTTTTGCCCAGACCAATGTCATGAATTGTTTCGCTGCTGTTTTCTTCTAGGAGTTTTATAGTTTCACATTTTAGAGTAAAGTCTTTAATCCATTTTATTTGGTTTTCTTATATGCTGAGAGATAGGGGTCTAGTTTCATTCTTCTGCATATGGATATCCAGTTTTCTCAGCACCATTTATTAAAGTGGCTGTCTCCCCCCAACCCCAGTTTGTGTGTTTTGACACATTTGTGAAAAATAAATTTACCTTAAATATGTGGCTTTATTTCTGTCTTCTCTCTTCTGTGCCATTAGTTTGTCTTTTTTATGCCAGTACTCTCTGTTATGGTAACTGTAACTCTGTAGTATAATTCAAAGTCAGATAATGTGATGTCTTCAGCTTTTTTCTTTTTTGCTTAGGATTGCTTTGGCTATCCTGGGTCTTTTGTGGTTCCACACATAAATACATTTTGGGATTATTTTTTCTATTTCTGTGAAGAAAGTTATTGGTATTTTGATATGTAGGTTGCTTTGAATTTGCAGATCACTTTTTGTAATATGGACATTTTAGCAATATTAATTCTTCCAGTCCATGAACATGGAGCATCTTCTCATTTTTTGTGTCGTCTTCAATTTCTTTTATCAGTGTTTTACAGTTTTCCTTGTAGACATCTTTTACTTCATTGGTTAAGTTTATTCTTAGGTATTTTGTTTTTTCTGGTTAAGTTTATTCTTAGGTATTTTGTTTTTTCTATTTGTAGCTATTTTAAATGAGATTACTTTCTTGTTTCCTTTTTCAAATTATTCACTGTTGTCTTGTAGAAATGCTATTGATTTTTGTATATTGGTTTTGTATCTTGCAGCTTTACTAAATTTATCAGTTATTGTTTGTTGACTTGTCTTTTAGTCATCTTACTAAAGATATGAGTGGTCTGTATACCACAATTACAGTGTTATTCTGTATTTGTCTGTGTACTTAGTATTATCAATGAGTTTTATATCTTCAGATGATTTCTTACTGCTCATTAACATGCTTTTCTCTCAGATTGAAAAACTCCCTTTAGTATTTCTAGTAAAACTGGTCTGCTATTGGTGAAATCCCTTAGCTTTTATTTGTCTGGCCAAGGCTTTATTTCTCCTTCAGAGTTGACAAATAAATTTGGAGGATATGATATTTTAGGTTGGAAGACATTTTTTTCCTTTAGCACTTAGAATATATAGAATGATCCTACTCCTTCCTGGCCTGTAAGGTTTATGCTTAGATGTTTGCTGCCAGATGTATCAGAGCTCCTCTATATGTTATTTGCTGCTGCTGTTTCTTTTCTTTTTTTTTTTTTTTTTGCAGAGTTTAGGATTCTTTATTTATCCTTGACCTTTGAGAGTTTAATTCTTACATGCTTTTGGTGATCTCATTTCAATTTTCTTGGTGTTTTTTGACCTTCTTGTACTTGGATATTCATATCTTTTTCTGGGTTTGAAATGTTCTTTGCTATTATTTCTTTGAATAAACTTTTTAACCTGATCTCTTTTTTTACATCCTCATTAAGGTCAATAAATCATAGATTTGCCCTTATGACACGCTGTTTTCTAGATCTCATGGGTATGCTTAATTTTTTTTCAGATTCTTTTTTCTCTGTGTACTTTTGTATAGCCTGTCTTAGCTTAGTTCTTCCTTCTGTTGGACCAATTCTGCTGTTAAGACACTCTGATGAATTTTTTGGTTTGTCAGTTGAATTTTTCAGTTCTAGAGTTTGTTTGATTTTCCCTTATTATTTCAGTCTCTGTTAAATTTCTCAATAGAATTCTGAATTCCTTCTCTGTGTTATCTTGAAGTTCTTCGAGCTTCCTCAAAACAGCTCTTTTGTATTTCTTGTCTAAAAGGTCATATATCTCCTTTACTTCTAGAGTGGTCACTGGTGTCTTATTTAGTTTCTTGAGATCATGTTTTCCTGGATGTTCTTGGTGCTTGTGCTTGTGGATGTTCATCAGTGTCTGGACATTGAAGAGTTAAGTTTTTATTTTAATCTTCTCAATTCAGGCTTATTTGTACCATCGTTCTTGAGAGGGCTTTTCATGAAGTCAAAGGGGATTGAAAGTTATAACCTAAGCCTGTGGTCACTATGGCTATTTCAGCAGTAGTGTGATCCCTAAGCCCAGGAATACTGTGACTCTTGGAGACTGTTACTTCCACCTTTTGGCTTCTGTGAATACTACAATCATGATTACACAAATATCCCTTTATGATCCTGTTTTCAATTCTTTTGTGCACTATTGGTGGAGTGTAAAATGGTGTAGATACTTTGGAATACAGTTTGGGGGTTCTTCTGAAAATTGTTACTGTATGACCTGGCAATCTCACGACTAGGTCTGTATCCAAAAGAATTGTGTGATCTTTTATCCTTTACCACTAATACTTTCTCCGTATCACTCATAAGTGTTTTTCACATTTATCATTCATCTGTTCACTGGAGCAGCACTGTTAATTTCCCTGAAGAACTTTTTCTGTTTTTGTTTTTGTTTTTTTCATTCTCTTATTGGATAATTGTTTAGTGCAGGAGACCAAGCTTTCAGTCTGTCTTGGCTTTTGACACATTTTCTTGGCTAAGCTTATTCAGTTGTAGCTTTTGATTGAAAGTGAAAGACATGTGGCTCTTCCTTTGGCTTGAACACTTAGAATCCATTGCAGGTCTATTCATTGGTCTAATTTCAATATTGTTTTGTCTCAGTTAATAGGGAGGATCTACCTGAGGGAGAGAGACAGGAATGGTCAGTTGTCGAAACAGTCAGAATACACAAAACAATTTATCAATTAATTTTGTCATCTTAAATGAGTATGGTTTGTAGTGTACTAAAACAATAATAATATCTATGATCAGTGATCACCATAGTAGATATAATAGTAATGAAATAGTCTGAAATATTCTGAAAATTGCTAAAATGTCAATATGCACATGACATGAGTATATGTTGGAAGAATTATGCTGATAAGGGTTTCTGGACACAGAGTTGCCACAAACCTTCAGTTTGTTAAAAAACACAGTGTGAAGTATCACAATAAAGCACAGTGGAATTGAAACAAGGTATTCCTGTATTCTATTTATTTTAATGACTTTCCAGCAATTCCTTATTACTGTTCCTATTATTTTAGTGGTTGCTCTAGGAATTAGTGTCCTCTTTAAGCTGTCATCATATGCCTAGAGGCAGTATTTTATCACCTCACATGAAATACAAAAAACCTAGCTATAGCATAATTTTAATTAACCCCCATCCTTTGTTCTTTTTCATGGCATATTTTACACCTACATGCATAATTTATTCCACAATGCTGTATTAATTTTTGCATTAAACACCTTTTTTTAAAGAAATAAAGAATAGAAAAAAAAACTTTTACACCCATACATTTATTCAGTATTTTCAGTATTCTTCATTATTTTTTGTTGGTACAAATTTTAGTTTTGTTGTCATTTTTCTTGATTTGAAGAATTTTCTTTAGGATTCTGTGTATTGCCAATTTTCTTGTGACAGATTCTCTGAGCTTTCTATTCTCTGAAAATATTTTTATTTACTGCAAAGTTTGGGGGATATTTCATTGATGTAGAATTGCTGTAGACTTTTTTTTTTTCAGTACTTTAAAAATTGTTTTATTTTCCTCTTGCCTTTATTATTTCTAATTAGAAGTCAATTTTCACTGTATAATTTATCCCCTCCATGTAATGCATCTTTTTACATAATCCTATACTTTTACAGTATTCAATTGTCTGGCTTTTTGTTGAAAATAGATAACATCCTAAGTTGATTACCTTTTCACAGCCCACTCTTCCTGCTTTGCTTAGTTTAAATTTTATTTACAGTTAGCTATTAATCCCTCCACAACATCCTGTGCTTCCTTACCTCTTTCACTTTATTAGCTTGTTGATACCACAGCACTGGTTAAATCCAACAAAGCTGCCTACTCCATTCCTGTTTTTAAGCAGGTGAATGTGGCTGATGAAAAAGGAGAAACCTACACTAATCTCATTTGAAATTCATGAGCACTAATCTCATTTGTGCCTTTACTCATGCCTTGAAATCATTAAATTTTTCCTGTTCTGTTACGTTCCCTACCCTGACGAACTCTTTTATACTTCCTTAACATTCAATTAACATACATTTTTTTCCACATCTTTTCTCTTAGCTCATGACCTTAGTACTCCACTGGAAAAATTAAGAGAATCAAAAGAGATGTTTCGTAATGTCCTATTGTCACATACATTCATATCTTGTATCTATGCATGTGTATTTTACATTTTCTTCTGTTACTGTGGATAAAATATCCATGTATGTAGCTAAAGCAACTCCTTTACTTGCACACTGTAACCAACTGTTTCTAGACAATTTCCTTTTATTGCTTTGACAATTTTATACTCTCTCTCTTTATAATCAAATTTTCACTATATGATCATTCTTATTATCATACACCTTTATCATTATCTCTCTCATCTTAAAAAGATGAAACAAGTCATTAATCTTGCATTCCATTTTAGGCAGCTCTCTTTTCTCCTCTTACTTCTTTACAACATAACTGTTTTTTTTTTTTTTTTTTTTTTACTGTCGGCTGTCTACATTTTCTCTTTTTCTTTCTTGAACTCCTCCAATAAACTTTTCTGTGTCAAAGAGAATAATCCTGATTGTTATGGTCAGTTCTTAGATTCTTTATTTTTGTTTTGTACCTATATGAAATGCTTGACACAGTTTATCCTTTCCTTTTCCTCTTCTTTTTTCTTTTCGACTAAGTCTCACTCTAGCACCAAAGCTGGAGTGCAGTGGCACCATCTCAGCTCATTGCAACATCTGCCTCCTGGGCTCAAGCAATTATCCCGCCTCAGCCTTCCCAGTAGCTGGGATTCCAGGCACCTGCCACGATGCACAGCTAAATTTTGTATTTTTAGTAGAGACGGGGTTTCACTGTATTGGCCAGGCTGGTCTCTAACTCCTGACTTGAGGCAATCCTCCTGCCTTGGCCTCCCCAAATCCTGGGATTACTGCACCACACCCAGCCTTCATTTTCTTTCTTAAAACCCTTCTTTACTTGGCTTGTTAGCACACCAAAGTTTGTTGTTGCTTTTTTTCCTACGTTTTTGGCCTTTCTCAGTCTTTTTGCTGTGTAAGTGTTCTGAGTATCTGTCCATAGATCTCTTCTCTTTTCATTCTCCATTTTCATGGTTTTAAGTGTCATCTTAAAAGTCACTCACATGTCAGTGACTTTGAAATGCATATTTTTGTATAGTCCTTCTTTCTGAACTCTTGTCCATTATATTCAAAAATTTACTAATGGCCATTTTTATATTTAATGGGATCTCACACTGGATTTTGCCTCCCCACTCCCCTGGCAAATGCGGCATCTCTTTATTTTTTCTCCATCTTGTTTAGTGGTAAATCCACTGTTGCACTTGTCAGGCTGACAATGTTGGTGTAGTTCTTTTTTTTTTTTGAGACAGAATCTTGCTGTGTCGTCAGGCGCCAGGCTGGAGTGCAGTGGCATGATCTTGGCTCACTGCAACCTCTGCCTCCTGGGTTCAAGCAATTCTCCTGCCTCAGCCTCCCGAGTAGCTGGGACTACAGGTGCGTGCACCGCGCCCAGCTAATTTTTGTATTTTTTTAGTAGAGACAGAGTCTCACCATGTTGGTCAGGATGGTCTCGATCTCTTGACCTCGTGATCCACCCGCCTCGGCCTCCCAAAGTGCTGGGATTACAGGCGTGAGCCACCACGCCCAGCCGTGTTAGTGTAATTCTATGTTCTCTATTTCATGGCCACATCTGATTTATCAGCAAATTCTTTTGGCATTGTCTTTACAAAACACTTTTAACCAGAAAACGCTTTATAAAACACTTTGTACCATACCACCACTGTCACCGCCCTGCTCCCTGAGTATGTTATCTTTCACTTGTATTATTAACTGGTCTTTTTTTCTGATTTTGTTCTGCCTTCATTCTATTTTTATACAGCAGCACAGTGATTGTGTTATATTTTAGGTTAGAGAGTGTTATACTTTTTTTTAAACCTTCTAGTATAACTTCTGATTTTCTTCAGTGTGAAAGCTAAAACGTTTATACTGTAACAGAAGATTTGCCCTCCATTGCTGCTGACCGTATCTTCTGCTCAGCTGGTCTTTGGTTTAGTAGTCATCATGGGTTTCTTGCTATCGTCAGATATGGTGAGCATGTTCCTATTCCTGTACTTTCAAGCATGCTGTATAATACTTACTTTATTTTGTTTGCAGTCTAAAACCCATTGGAATATAGGAACCCAAATACAGAGCTTTTTTCTTTTTGTTGTAAGCACTGACTATGTAGCAAATTGTCCTGGCACATAGTAGGCACTTAAGATTCAGTTTTCCTTTTAATAAGTGAGTTCTCCATCCTTTTTTTGTTAAACTTGTTTTCAGATCCGTGATTCTAATTGCAACTATGAGGCCTTTATGAACATTATTAAATTGAGTGACAATATTGGAGAGCTAGAGGCAGTCAGAGATAAGGCAGCAGAAGAATTACAGTATCTTAGATCTCTAGATACAGCTGGTGATGGTAAGTAATGTATTTAATTTAACATATATTTTTTTGAAGGATTATTACATCTTCAGAACTTTGGTTAATTTACCTAAATGTCATTTTCTGCTATTGGTTGTTTTCATCTTAATTAAATCTTCCTTATTATGTTAACATGTGCTTAGAGTAAAAGCATTATTTTCAGAATGAGAGAATGTGATTACTGTGATTATCCCTAAAGTGAAGGTAATTGGCATGGTTCACTTTTAATTAAATAATTTCACTGTATAATTTCTGATGGTTTATTTTATTGAATAAAACAATTGCCTTATTTTTAACTGATTATTTTGTTAAATTACAGTAAGTGCATGTTTAAAGTATTCCAGAAATAATGTTACCACTTTCTAGTTCTTGATTTATTTGCTTTTAGATATCAACACTATCAAAAATCAAATAAATAGCTTACTGTTTGTAAAGAAAGTATGTGACTCAAGAATACAGCGATTGCAGTCAGGCAAAGTAAGTAAATTACTTTCGAATTAATGTTTAGTTATAAATACTTTATAGGGATTAAAATGCACAGTCAAGGACAAAAAGTAGGACATTTACCAGTGCAGCACTTTACAAGAGGCCTTTAGAAAGGGTTATCTCTTCTACAATGTGGTAGAGGTTAATTAAAATGCTGCCTGAAAAATGTTAAAGTAATTGGAGATTTTATTTTATTCCTTGATTTCTGTATTTACTTGTGTATCATTTGTTTATTCAGAATTTACATTTATTCAATTTTTTGAGTTGGGGACTTTATAGAACAGCCAAGTAGACCAACTCTTTTCATGGAGCTTACATTTTAGTTGCAGTGTCAGGAAATAAACTAATAAGCAAATTGATGCGTAATATCAGGTGGTGATACCTACTACAAAAAAAAAACAGTAATAAAGCAAAGAAGGATATAGAGAATGTCTTGGACTGGTTTAGATGGGTGCTGAGAAGTTTGATGACACTTAAACATAGGGAGACCTAATAACATGAGGCAGTTAGCTCTGTGATGTATTTTTGTTTGTCTTTGAAGTTTCTATCTTACAGGGAGTCATGAGAGCAAATTCAGGGGTCCTAAGGTAAGAATGTCTTTGGTGAGTTGGAGGAGGTCATTGTGAATTGTATAGGATGAATGAGCTGTTGTGCTAGGAATGAAGTTATAGAAGAAGGAGGGGGAGGTTATATCTTTTTATGGTCATCTGTGGTCTTACTGGCCATAGTAAGAGTTTTATTTTATTCTAATTGTGATGAAAATCAATTGGAGATTTGCCCTGGCAAGTGACATTACCTGACTTATTAGTTAAAATTTAAAATTATTACCTTTACTCTTTGTGAAGAACAGACACAATGGGTGAGATGATGGGGGTAAAAATGGAAACTGAGAGATTATTTTCAATACTCCTAATTTAAACTGGGTGAGAGATGTCTATGGAGGTTGTGAGAAGCTATTAGAGACTGGATATAGTGCTAATAGGATTTTCTTAATGGACTGAATATGGACTGAGAAAGAAAAAAAATAACTCAAAGATAATTTCAGGGTATTTTGATTTGAGCAATTGTATAAATAGTGGTGCTGTTTACTGAATTAGATAACACTGAGAAAGGAGAAGTTTGGAAAAGAGAATTGAATTTTGGATATTTTAATTTGAGATCCTTGTTTGACTTTCAAGTAGACAAGATAATTAGTAATCTTGATTTCTAAGGAAAAGTTAGTGATGGAGATAAATTTTGTAAATCCTCAGAATTATCAGATGTTTACTTAATGTTGAGAGAGACTGGATGGAGTTAAAAGAGTGTGTGTAAGTAGTAATGTACCAGTGACTTGGTCCTAGTACACTTCAGTGAATACAGTTAAGACAAAGTAAACAATCTAGCCAAAGAAACAGAGTAAATAGCCAGTGAGATTGGTGGGAAACCTGAGCATGTGCCCGACCCCTTCTTAGGACTTGTGATAGGGATGCCTCATTTACCCAGCCTGCCACTCTCAACTCTTTGTGAGGGGGAGCACGCAAGTGAATGAGTGGGAACTTGAGTGAATGAGTGCTGGAACCAGCCTGCCACTTAACCACTGGTGGGATCAAACTCCACTTGGACCCTCTACATTCCACCCCTCGAGGGAGGGAGAGCATAGGTGAGTGGCAGGAACGGGCCAGATGCTTTAGCACTGGCAGGAGCAAACACTGTTCATGCCACGTAGCAGTCCAGTCAGGGGTGTCTGTGACTCCCAAAGCCCCAGAGGATGTGTTACAGTGCTCTTTAGCTCCGCCATCTGTGAATGGCTTAAGGGTTAACAGCTCAGTGGGCCCTTTGCCTTTTTGCATGAGGCGGCTGCCCTCCACCGGTGAGGGCAAAGGGCCAGTGTGACAGCCTTTTGTGTCCATACTCATGGCTTCTGAGCTCTTATTCAGCATCCAGGAAAAATGAGGTAACATGAATGAATTGAAAGATTGTAAATCCAGGGGATTTTTATTGCCAATTAAAGTGGCTCTCAGTGGGAAGGGATGCTGAAAAGGGGAGTGGGCACATAGGTAATCTTCCCCTGAAGTCCGGCTGTCTCCACTCGGATTCTTCTCTGAAGTTACTGCCATCAGGCTATTACTCTGAAGTCAAGCCACTTCTCTCCAACATTCAGCCTTAGTCCTGGCTACTGGCTGAGTCTGGGGTTTTTATAGGCACAGGATGGGGTGGGGTAGGGCACGTGTGGTTTAGGCAAAGGCAACATTTGAGCGAGAAAACAGAGATATAAGTTCTCACTTAGGTCCACTGTCTCAGGGTTTTTGGCTTGAGGGTAGTGTTTCTCCAGGACCGCTCTTTTCTGCCTAGAATTTCTCTGCCCCTTGTCCCTGTCAATATCTCAAAAGCCAAGTGTAAAAAGTGTTTATAAAAGGAAAAGATGAGGCATATCAAAGAATAACATTGAGAAAGATGAGGACTGAGGATTTTCCATTGGACTTACTACCCTGGGGATTACTGGTGATTTGATGAGAACATTTTTGTGGAGTAGTGGAGAAAAATCTTAATTGTAGTTCATCCAAGAGAGAATGGAAAGAGATAAATTAGAAACAGTAATGATAGTTGCTCTGTAGAGATGTTTTACCCCAAAGGAGAAGAGAAACTTGGGGCTTTAAAGCAGGAAAAAGCATTTCTTAATACCCTTAGATTTTTAGTGTATTCACCTTTTCTGCTGTAGTTTTCTGTTTTGAAAATTTATTTATGACTCTCCGGTCTTAAAATTTTACAGTGTATACAAAATTCCTTAAGGAATAGAAGAATTATTTTTAAAAACCTTAAATTTAGTTTGCTAGATGAGTTATAACTTATGAAACATTACTTGAGGCCCACGTTTGTTATACGTGTGTGTGTGTGTGTTGTGTGTGTGTGTGTGTGTACTTTTGGTTAACTTTATTTTAAAACTAGTTATATACTCAAGCAAATTAGAACAGAAGAAAGATACTGTTTCACTTGTGCTTTTCTTTAACTACTTCCGTATCTAGATATCAGAGTTAGTGACCTTTCAGCATTGTTACTCAGTGTATTTGCCCAGGCACTTTTTGATATAGGATCCTTTTAAAATTTAGGCATTTTGTTTGCAAGCCTGTCAATTCCATTTTGAATACAAGCTTCATTTTTTAATGAGTTCAGATGATACAGTGTTTTCCTTTTTTAAGTAACCTCAGAATCCCCATGGGCTTGCAGTTTTATAGCCATGTTACTTATCTTGAAATCTTAGAAGCCTTTATTCTTTCATATTACAAATAAAGTTATAGTGAATTTTCTTTCCCATCCCATATCTGTGGAGCCACTGATGGACAGGAGAAAGAGGTGACAGAATTTGTAGAAGGGAGACTTAGTAGAAATCATGTGCTGGCTCTAGATTGCGCTCTACCAGACATTTAAAGTCAGTTAGCTGTCACTGTCCAGTGCTTATATGAAGGAAAATACAAATTACAGAGATAAATTTGGTTTTTGTTGTTTTGTTTTTTCTCTTTAAAAAATTCTCTTCATTTTTCTTCATTTACCACCTGTGCTTAATTTAGTATCTGCCTCTGAATATGGCAACCTATTTCATTTACAGTAAGCCTGTCTGTCTTTCTTTTTTAAATAGATGGTTCTGAACTATGGATTTGGGAATATAGAGAAGCCAGTGAAGATAAATAGTTCATAAAAACATCATGGCTTGTATAGGAAAGGGAAGACAGCATTTGAAAACACATAGTCATACTTACCAGCTTTGTGACTTACATGTAACTATTTTGATCTTTGTTTTCCTTATCTGTTAAGTAGGCTTAGTGATACATATCCAGCAGGACTGCTGTGCAGATTAAATGACGTTATATGTGTAGTGTATCTGGCACAATGCCTGACACCTAGATGCTCTTTAAATTTTCAACCCCAATAGTTTCCTTTTTTTTTTTTTTATATGTAGTTTGTTTCCTTGCTCTATAACTTTGAAAAGTATGTCTGAAATTCAAGAGAGTCTGGAAAAAAACCTATTTCCTCTAATAATTAGAGTTTTTACTGAGGAGCAAAATTTCTCTTTAGGCAGATTTTGTTTTCCTAGTAATAAATAGACTTTATACATGAAAATGTTTAGTTTTTAAAAAAAATCTTGCATATAGTAAACATTTCAAACATTTCCTTCACCCTATTAGCTTCTGGAATGTTCATTTTCATCTGAATATATAGAGACTGAGAATAATGGAAAATATAGTGATTTCTATTTATTTTATATTGAAATAAATGAATGCTAATATTTTTAATATGTTAATATTTTTAATTTGCTAAGCAACTCTTAACTAGGAATTTAAATTCACAGAATGCATATTTTTTTTGGGAAATAACATGCATGGGAAGGGAAAAACTTCATCTTTACTCATTGTAACTTGATGTTTTTTTCTTTATATTTATATAAATATCTTTAACAATGAATGATTTGATAAAATATTAACTTATATTCACTTTTGCCTGTAGGAAATAAATACTGTGAAACTTGCGGCAAACTTTGGGAAACTTTGCACAGTCCCCCTGGACAGCATTCTTGTAGACAATGTTGCACTACAATTTTTTATGGGTAGGTAAATCAACTGTATTTAAATGATATAGCCTTTGTATATTTTTATGTCATAAAATACACATAAAACTTAGTATCTCAATCATTTTTAGGTGTATAGTTCAGTGATATTAAATGTATTCATGATGTTGTACAGACATTACAACCATTTATCTCCAGAACTATTTTTACCTTGCAAAACTGAAACTCTCCATTCCCCAGACCCTCAAACCCTGCAGCCATCATTCTGCTTTCTGTCTCTCTGATTTTGACTACTCCTAAGTACGTCACATAAGTGGGATTGTACAGTATTTGCTTTTTTGTGACTGGCTTACTCACTTAACATAGATATGCACTCAGGTTTTATTCATGTTATAGCATATGTGAGAATTAACTTTGTTTTTTTAATGCTGAATAATATTCGTGTGTGTGTGTGTGTGTGTGTGGACATGTGCTCACATGCGCTTCTCCCCTTCCCTTTTCTCCCTTCCTCTCCACTTTTCCTAGTTGCTCTGCCTAGTACTTCAAGATGGCATCTTTGTCTTGTTCCTTATCTTAAAGAAAAGTATTCTGTCTTTCACCATTGAGTATAATATTCACTGTGGGCTTCTTCGTATGTAGCTTTTATAATTTTCAGGTAGTATCCTTCTGTTCCTACTTTATTGAGTGTGTTTGTCATGAAAGTGTGTTGAATCCTGTGAAATGTTTTTTTGTGCATCAATTAAGATATGTAGTGTTTATCTTTCATTCTGTTGTGCTGTATTACATTGATTGTTGTTGTTTTTGTCTGTTCAGCCATCTTTGGATTACGGGTTTAAATGCCGCCTTAGTTATGGTGTATAATCCGTTTAATATGCTGCTGAATTTGTTTTGCTAGTATTTTATGGAGGATTTTTATATCAATTTTTATAAGGAACATTGGTCTGTAGTTTTCTTGTACCGTCTTTATCTGGCTCTGCTTTCGGGATAATGCTGGCCCCATAGAATGAGTTAGGAAGTGTTTCCTGTCTAATTGTTTGGAAAAATTTAAAAAGGATTGCTATTATTTTAAATGTTTGATAGAATTCACCAGTAAAGCTATTCAGGTCCAGGTCTTTTCTTTATTGAGGATATTTGATTACTGATTCAGTTTCCTTACTACCTATCAGTCTCCTCAGATTTTCAGTTTCTTCATAATTTAGTCTTGGTAGATTTTCTATTTCTAGGAAGAAAAATCTTGGTAGATTTTTCCGTTTCTACTAGGATATCCGATTTATTGACATACAGTTGTTTATAGTACTCACAGTACTTTTAGTGTCATAAGTAATAGCCCCACTTTCACTTCTGATTTTAGTAATTTGAGTCTTTTCGTCCTCCTAGGTAAGTGTTTGCCAATTTTGTCACTCTTTTCAAAGAATCAGCTGTTGCTTTCACTGACTTTTACTATTGTGTTCCTGTTTATCTCTGCCCTAATCTTTATTATTTCTTTCCTTCTGCTAGCTTTGGGTTTAGTTTGTTCTTTTTCTATTTATTTATGTTGTAAAGATCTCTAACTTTACAACGTAAGGAAAGATGATTTGAGATCTTCCTTTTTGCTCTGTCCCATGAGTTTGGTATGTTATATTTGTTTTCATCCATTTTTACATATTTTATGATTTCTCTTGTGATTTCTTCTTTGATCAATTGGTTGTGTGTGTTTTAATGTTTTCACAGGGTAAGTAGGGTAAATAAACAGTGTGTTGATTTCCAAAAATATGTGAGTTTTCCAGTTTTTATCCCTTTGTAGTTGAGAAGATACTTTGCTTGATACTCATTTTTGAAAACCTTATGAAACTCAGTTTGTGGCCCATTGTATGGTCTGTTTTAGAAAATGTTCCATGTGTACTTGAGAACTGTATGCTGTTGTTGGGAAGTGTTCTGTATGTTTGTAAATCTACTTGATATATTGTGTTAAGTTCTCTATTTCCATATTTCTGTCTGGTTCTATTCATTAGTGAGAGTAGAGCATTGAAGTCTCCAACTATTATTGTGGAACTGTCTCTTTCTCCCTTAAAATCTGTCGGTTTTTGCTTCATATATTTTGGTGATCTGTTATTAGTTATGTAAATGTTTATAATTGTTGAATCATTTTGCTTTGTTGACTCCTTTATTAATATATAATGACCTTATTTATGTCTTAACCTTTTTTGATTTCAAGCCTATTTTGCCTGATACTAGTATAGTCCTCCCTGCTCTATTTTGGTTATTTTTCGCATGTGATGTGATTTTTCATCCTTTCACTTTCAGACTATGTATGTCTTTGTATCTAAAATCTTTGTAGGTAGCATATCATTGTATTAATTTTTAAATCCACTTTACCAGTCTCTGTCTTTTCATTAAAAAGTTTAATCCACTTACATTTAAAGTAATTATTAATAAGAAAAGACTTCTGTCATTTTGTTATTTGTTTCTACATGCTTTATATCTTTTTTGTTAAGACTTCTTTTGTATTTAGTTGACTTTTTTTTTTTTTTTGTAGTGACATGATTAAATTTTTTTCTCATTCCTCTTAGGTATATTATGTAGCTGTTTTCTTTGTGTTTACTATGGGGATTACATGTAACATCCTAAACTTACGACACTGTAGTTTGAAATTATGTCAGCTTAATTTCAGATGCATTTAAAACTTTATTAATTACAGCCCTGTCCACATGCCTTTTTTTGATGATGTCACAAAACTAAGTCTTTACAAATTGTATATTCAAAATATGGGCTAATAATTCTTTTAAATGAGTTACTTTTGTAACTTATGTAGAAACCAGGATGTACAGTATCAAAGTACAGTATTCCTGGCTTTCAGACTGATGGTTGATTTTTAAAAAGTTGTCTCAAATCACATAGAAAACAGAAAAATAGAGTTACCAATAATTGTTAAAATAATACTAGCTTTTATAATGGCCCATATGTTTATTTTTGCTGAGATGTTTATTTCTTCATATGCTTTCAAGGTACAAAGTTAATATCTAGTGTCCTTTTATTTAATTTATTCTTTTATTTTGCAAGGCAGGTCTTATGGTAATATGCTTCCTTTGCTTTTGTTTATCTGGGAATGTCTTATTTCACTTTCATTGTGAAGTACAGCTTTGCGAGATATAGGAATTTGGTTGACAATATTTTTCTTTCGGCGCTTTGAATATCACTCTATTGCTTTCTGGCCTCCACAGTTTCTTGAAAGAAATCTGATAATCTTTTGTATTTTTTTTGTATGTGTTCTTTTTCTCTTTCTGCTTTCAGATGTCTGTCTCCATGTCGGTATCTTTGAATTCATCTTACTTGGAGATTGTTGAGCTTTTTGGATGTTTATACTCATGCCTTTCTTCAGATTTGGGAAATTTTCAGTCATTTTTTCAGATATGATCTGCCTGTTTCTCTCATTTTTCTCCTTGTAGAACTCGGGCATGTACCTTGGTCCAGCAGGTTCCTTAGGCTTTGTTTACTCTTTTTCATGTTTTTTCATTCTGTTTCTCGGACCCTACAACCTTTATTATTCTGTCCTTACATTTGCTGATTCCTCTGCCTGCTCAAATCTACCTTAAATTTCCTTTAGTGCAGTTTTTACTTATGTACTTTTCACCTTCATAATTTTATTTTGGTTTGTTCTATGTTTTCTGTCTCTTTATTGATATTTCCATTTTGTTCATTGATTGTTTATGACTTTCTTTACATCTTCCTTTAGTCTTTTGGGCATCTTTAAGGCAGTTGTTTTAAAGTCTTTGTCTAGTAGAACTTCCATCAGGTCTTTTTTGGGGACAGTTTCTGTTGATATATGTTGGCATTTTTTGCTCTTTGAATGGGCCGTACTTGCCACGTACTTTGTATGCTGTGTGTGTGTGTGTGTGTGTGTGTGTGTGTGTATGTGTATGAATAACTGGCCATTTGAATCTAATAAGATAGGAACTCTGGAAATCACTTTCTTTCCTTTCCTCAGGGTTTGCTTTATTTTATTTTTATTTATTTTTTTATTTTTTTATGTTTTAATATGTAGGCTGTCTATGCTAAGGATCAGACTGAGGTATAAACTTAAGGTCTTTTCAAGAGTATTCTAAGCTTGTGCTTTTCTCTGGGCATGCATAGTCACTTTCTAATTTTCCCACATATGTGGTTGTTTTTGAATGTCCTCATTTTTAATACGTGGCTCTGAAAGGGAGAAAAAGATAAAACTGTAGGAGGCAAGGTAGAAAGGGTGCCAGTCTTCTAAATCCCTTGGTCATTACTTCAGCAGGAAGGAAAGGGGCTTGGACCAATCAAGGGATACAAAACAACAAAGGCTCCATATTTGTCTGCACCTCTGTGATCAGAAGCAGCCTAGATCCTAAATATTTGAAGGACAAGGTGTTTTTTGTCCACCCTAGTTCCTACTTGCTGTGTACAAGCTAATTCTGGAGTGCATGCACAGCTACTTGTTCTAGGGGGTCTAGGCCTGGGGAATGGGTAGGTACAGTTGTGCTAAGAGCTGAAATGCACTGAAATTAACCAAAGCTCACCTCCCAAGTCCTTTCCCTGAATGTTGCAAGTCTTCAGTAGATTCTAGAGTTCCGGATTAGTTACTTCAGATTCTGCCATTGTTCTTGTTGTGGAGGTGAAGAGAGAGAATTCTGGTGCTTCACACTCCCACATCATCTTTGAAATTTTTAGAATTTTAAATATTATTAAATTTTAAGTAGTTAATATTTTGCATGCTAAATTCAGTCCACCCATTATTCTCTGAAATGTTTTTCTTTAGAAATCATGGAGGTAGAGCTTTATTTTGTTTTGAAGGAAATAGTTGTCATAAGTAATACGCATTTAACAAGCTACTTTTAAAGTAAATTCTAGGAGATTCTAATGCAAATTAAAATTCATTGAGAGAGAGTACTTTATTGGGAACATACACTGTATATAACCTGTTTGTATCATTCTTGTTCATGTGTACTTGAGGGATTTTGTTTTTATGACATTTTAATATATACATTTTTTATTTATATCTTATTACTATTACATTAGAATTGCTTTTATGTGGAGGACATTTTCAGTAAACTATACATTTTCATTTTTGTGATTAAAAAATATATGTGGTTTGTTGAGTCGTTTTTAAAAATATGTTTAGAAATATTCATATTATAGCTAACAATCTTTATTGAGAGTAAATGTTGAATATTTTACATTATGAATTTATTCACTAGAGCTTTTATCATGAAAAGTGGGATTTTTAAAATTCCAAAATATATGCCTTTGCTTACGTTTTTAACATAACTGGTTTCTTAGCTTAACCAATTTACGACTATATTTTCACCTCAGGGATTTGCTAAAACATTTCAAAATGTAGAGTTCTAAATCCTTGAAACTTTAATCCTTCTTTACTTGTCATACAGCTACATGGACCCTAAATTGTGTGATACTAATATTCATGTTGTTATGGATTTTGATTGGTAGATTACATGCAGCAAACTGGAGGACAAGCACATCTGTTCTTTTGGATGACAGTGGAAGGATACCGGGTTACTGCCCAACAGCAGCTAGAGGTTTTATTAAGTCGTCAGAGAGATGGAAAACATCAAACCAACCAAACCAAAGGTCTTTTAAGAGCAGCTGCTGTTGGAATTTATGAACAGTATTTATCAGAAAAGGTGAGGGTATATTTTGATTACTGTTTTCTTCTTTAGCAGTATTATTAATAATTTTTGTAATCCATTGCTCATACCAGGCTGACTACCTCACAAACATTGTCTCCTTTATTCAATAACAATCTTCCTGTCTGTCTTTATTCTCATTTGAATGAAGATTCTGATGTTTAGGCAGTCAGATTATCATGGCCAGCGTCATGCAAGTACTAAATGACAGAATCAGGTTTCAAGGTCACGTGTTAGATTCACCACAGGCTGAAAGTAAAAGGATAGAAAAAGATAAACCATGCAAAAGTAAACAAAAGAGGAGAAGGATGTTTTCATTCTTAGGATCAGGATGATAAAACAGTTGTAAACATATATGCATTTAATAACAGAGCCCCCAATACATGAAACAAAAATTTGCAGAAATAAAGGGTAAGAGAGACAATTCAGTAGTTATACTTGGAGACTTCAATACCCCACTTTCGATATTTGATAACAAAATTAGAAAAACATCAAGGATATGCAAGACTTTAGGACCATTGCAAATTACTGAATGCTATCGAATAATATATATACTATATTAGCTAACTATAGTTCTATAGAATATATAATACATCTATAGAGTCTATAGAATATTACATATAATTGTATAGATTATTATAGAATGTATAGGATACATATTATATGGAATAGAATTGCTTTAGAATTTATAGGATAATATGTGTATATTATTCTATAGACTGTTTCCCCTAACAACAGCAAAATACACATTATTTTCAAGAAACGGCAGGAAAATACACATTATTTTCAAGAACACAAGGAACATTCTCCAAGATAAATCATTTGCAAGGCCTTAAAAGCCATCTCCATTTGAAAGTATTGAAATCATTCTTGGATCGAAATGGAATCAAATTAGAAATCAACAAAAGGAAATTTGGAGAAACTACAAACAATTGAAAATTAAATAACATATTTCTAAATAGTCTCTGAATCAACAAGAAGTGACAAGGAAACTAGAAACTGTTTTTAATTGGGAAGAAAATGCATTCTATCAAAATTCATGGGATGCAACTAATTAGTGCTTAGAGGAAAATTTGTAGCTTCAAAAATGTCTAATTAGAATAAGGATCTAAAATCAACCCTCTTAAGTTTTCACCTTAAAAATCTAGAAATGAGAAATAAACCCAAGACAAACAGAAGAAAGGAAACAAAGATGATTATGAGGATCAACGAATAGAAAACAGAAAAGCCATAGAGAAAATCTAAAACTAAAAGTTGGTTCTTTGAAAATATCAACAATATTGACAAACCTTTAGCTAGGCTGGCCATGAAAAAATGAGAGAAGACAGATAACCAAATTCATAAATGAAAGAGAGACATGACCCCTGACCCTACAGAAATTAAGAGGAGTAAGCAAATATTATGATCAACTTTATGACAACAAATTAATCAACTTTATGACAACATATTAACTTAAAGTAGACAAATTTTTAGACACAGACTACCAGACTAACTCAAGAAGGAATAGAAAATAAAATAAATTGCTTAATAAGATTTAATTCTTTCTTGCTATAGAAAAGATGCTAAAATCTTGATCTTTGGTAAAATCGTATTTTTTTAAGTATAGGACAATAAAAAAGGCCTTCTCTAATTTAAAATACTTTTTGAATGAAAATGGAGAAAAAGATTGCATTAAAGAGAAATTTATAGGCTGTTTCTCTAAAATTGGTAGATGATTTTTGATGAGGCCAAAAGCAGCCTAGAAAAGAATTGACAGACTGACCTGTGTTGTTTGATGTTACATGTAGGTTGTGATAAACACTCATGTAGTGAACAAAATGACTCTTGTTTTTGAAATAATACAGAAAGTCACTAGAAAAGGACAGCCAGCTTAAACAGGATTTTCTCAGTTTCTCTCCTAAAACTAATTTATTTGGAATTGAACTTCAGTTTCACTAGTGTATCTGTGTATTTAAAAACCATTTTTCCTCATAAAGAGATTTAACTTAACGATGACATCATTATGCTTCAAAGTATTTAAAAATGAGCATTGTAGGCATGGATAGAATTTATAGATGGAAGAGACCTGATTGGCAACATTGATCTACCTACCAAACAAGCCATATATATAGCTTTTGGACTTTTTTTTGAGAACCAAAATCAAATTTCTACACATTTAAAAACCTATTTTTTTTAGTGGGAGTGGTTGGGGGGCAGATGGAGTTTTGCTGTTTTCGCCCAGGCTGGAGTGCAGTGGTGTGATCTTGGTTTATTGCAGCCTTCGCTTCCAGGGTTCAGGCAATTCTTTTGCCTCAGTCTCCAGAGTAGCTGGGACTACAGCTGAAAATCTGCTTTTAAATAAATAAAATCCCAATTATTATATGCCTGAATTATTTTGTTGAAAGGATATTTAGGCCAGGTACTGTGGCTCACACCTATAATCCCAAAGCATTGGGATTATAGACGTGAGTTCTCCTGTTTCCAGTGCTTTGGGATTATAGGTGGGAAGATGGCTTGAGGCCAGGAGTTTGAGACTAGCATGGACAACTTAGTGAGACCTTGTATCTACAAAAAGAAAAAGAGAAAAGAAAACAAGCTGAAGTTGGTGGCACAAGGGTGTATTCCTAGCTACTTGGGAGGCTGAGCCAGGAAGATTACTTGATCCCAGGATATCAAGGCTGCAGTGAACCATGATCACACCATTGCACTTCAGCCTGCATAACAAAGCGATATTCTGTCTCTAAAAAAAATAAAAAAATAAAAATTATTTAACTTGATCCTTCACATTGAATTGACATAAGAAATAAGTGTGAGGTGGGCTTGAAAAGAACAGAGTTAAAAGTCAAGGTGAATTTTTATGTTTGACTATATTAAGTGCTAACACTGCATAAAAAATGTTCTAAAGGCTACAGGCAGTTCAGAAAAGTATTTTATTAGAGAAGGAAACAGAAAAAGTAAAACTATCCTACTGCATCATGGACTAGATAGAAAAGTCATTGTTTATTTCTGTTAAATATAGATAATACCTGTTTTGCATGTACCTTCTGCTTTTATGTACATTTGTCTTTTAAAAAGTCTTTCTACCGAGGATGAAGCTGAAAACCATCATTCTTAGCAAACTGACACAAGAACAGAAAACCAAACACTGCATATTCTCACTCATAAGTGGGTGTTGAACAATGAGAACACATGGAAACAGGGAGGGGAACGTCATACACTGGGGCCCGTTGGGGGAGCCAGGGGAGGGATAACAGGGGGTTGGGGGATTAGGGTGGGATAACATTAGGAGAAATACCTAATGTAGGTGATGGGGAGAGGGGGTGGATGCAGCAGACCACCATGGCATATGTATACCTATGTAACAATCCTGCACGATCTGCACATGTAACCCAGAACTTAAAGTATAATAGAGAAGAAGTCTTTCTATATTTTAAGAATACAAAATAATATAGTCTATAAAATTTAAGTATGCAATAGATTTTTTAAAGAAGTTAAATTGGTATATCAGAGGACAGAAACATTGTAAATGACATACTGTTGTATTTTTCTCACACTGTTAACTAATTCCATTGGTTTGTTTAAATAATAGCATTTATGTGATAGAAAAGTAAACCATACACATTAGAAGATAATTTTGGAAAAACATTCACTCCTATATTTTCATGTTAAAGTAATAACAAATGTGTACAAATATTTCTTTTCTTTTTTTTTTTTTTTTGAGACAGTCTCTGTCACCCAGGCTGGAGTGCAAAATCTCCCTGCACCCTCTCCCTCCCAGGTTCAAGCAATTCTCTTGCTTCAGCCTCCTGAGTAGGTGGGATTGTGAGCATGCGCCACCACACTCAGCTAATTTTTGTATTTTTTAGTAGAGACGGGATTTTTGCCATGTGGGCAAGGCTGGTTTCCAACTTCTGGCAAGTGATCTGCCTGCCTTGGCTTCCTGAAGTGCTGGGATTACAAGTGTGAGCCACCATGCCTGGCCATATAAATACTATTTTTGTATTACTTTTTTTGGAAGAGGGGATTCTGACTGGTTGTGTTTCATGTTGGTACACTAAAAGTGTAGGATGCGGCTTACTCCATTTCTGTGTACTTGAGATATACAGGAAAAAGTAAAGTTTAAATAAATGTAAAATGTTATTTTTCAAATTCGCCCTTTTTATTTCTTAGTGAGTTTAGTGAGCTTAGAGGGCAAATGAAAGGGCAAAACCAACTAATATCGTATTTCTCTAATATTTGTCACATACTGAAGTTGTTCAGTTCTCCTGTTTCTATTTTCAGGGGAACTCTGCTGCCCTCTGAAACACAAAACAAGCATCCCCCTCAAAAAACAACCACTACTTCAGTGTACTAACAAAAGTGTTGAATTGACAGTGGGGCATTAGAAATTTTATAGCCCTTTGCCTACGTATTTATACTCTGATGTTTACTTTTTTTCTCCTTTCTTGATTTGTCCAACCCTTTCCTCATTTTATTGGATCAATTAAAGAAGTTATGCAAATAATGTTTTTTTTTTTTTTTTTTTTTTGTAAGTTTCTCAAAATCATCTCTAGGACTCATTTACTCTCCAGACTTTTCAAAACTAAAAATGCAAAAGTTGACATGCTGCAGCTGACATATATTGCTTTTCAGCGTTTTTTCTTTCAATAAAGTAATTTTTGAAGTTGAAATGTCAAATTTTGTATTTCCCTGTGTTATCTGTGTTGTTGTATACTTTGAAATGAAAGCTCTTAAAACAATTTTAAGGATTTTATTTTTTCCCATTTCACAGTGGAACTTTGCTGCAACATTGTTTATAAAACCAAATTTAGGATAACGGTAGTCTCTTTAAAGGCCATTCAGAAGGATTCGCTAGTGTCAAATAATAAATGAAATGGCTTATTCTTTCAGCAGTCGTATTAATAGACATCTAGTACTGCTGAATACTAAACACTGACTACTAATGACAGTGTTTCCTGTGTGCCAGACACTATGCTATATATCTTATATAGATCTCTTGTAATCCTTACAATAATCTTAAATAGCCTTATATAGTATTATCTCCATTTTACAGATGGGGTAAATGAAGCTCAGTGAGAGGTAACTTGCTAGGAAAAGTTGAGATTTAAATCCATGTTTGTTTACCAATCTATCATATAGTACATGAGGAAGAGAAGGTTTTAGTCCTGTTTCAGCCCTCCTGAACATAAAGGTGTCATTTACAAACCAGTGATTCTTACCTGCCGATTATTTTCAATAATATGATTCCAGTATTATCATGCTATCAAGTATTAACTTGTATTTAGAAATTACAGAGAAGACTATTATTTTTTTTCTGTTTGTTAGGCATCTCCAAGAGTTACTGTTGATGACTATTTAGTAGCAAAATTAGCAGATACTTTGAATCATGAAGATCCAACCCCTGAAATCTTTGATGACATTCAAAGGAAGGTATTATTATGTACAGCATTTATTATTTTATCTTTTTTGAGAAAAAAATATTTTTATGTAATGTAATTAGTTTTAAGAAACTTCTTAAAGTAGAATGGTATTAAAAAGGTAAGCTATGGCAATTACACTTCTCAATTCCAGAAATGTAAATCCTTAAGTTGGGTTGTTTTATTTGAATTTGATTGTAGAGCCAGATATTGTAGTCTCAGAATTTGATGAATTGGTGCCATATAAATAACATGCCTCTCAAATTCATTTTAATATAAGCCTTGAACCTTTACATATACTCGTTTTTTAGAAAGTACTTCCCAGAACATGCTGTCTTGTGACTTGAGTTGTAGTAGGATTTTTTTCAGTATGATTTAGTTACTGGAAAGATCAGAGGAAATCATTAGTTGGGAAATAGTCTTATTGCTGACAACTTATAACTATGATACATTATGGCAAGACCTCAATGTGTCTTTTGGTGAAATTGTATTTCATAACAATCACCATGTATCTGTATTAATTGTTGAATATCTTGATTTATTTCACCAAGGTATATGAATTGATGCTACGAGATGAAAGATTTTATCCTTCCTTCAGACAGAATGCACTTTATGTGCGCATGTTAGCTGAGCTTGACATGTTAAAAGATCCTAGTTTCAGAGGATCTGATGATGGGGATGGAGGTAAGGTGGCACACATTTTACACGTATATGCGTGTGTATTTATATGTATTCTGCTTACCAAAAAAAGAGCTTTTATACAAGTTAAAAATGTTATTGAAGTCCAAATATAAACTAATGTACTTAAAAATCTACAAATGAATGACAAAGTTTAGTGACTGTACTAAATTAAAATGTTGAAATTTTAATAATGGATTAGAATATAACTATAGAAGCCTTGAATTTTTAAAGAAGAATGTTTTCAGGCGAGTCACTAAAATATTTTTATGGAAGTTTCCCTTTTGCTAATGTTCACGATTAACAGTAGAATTATTGAGAAGATTTAATATGCACTAAGTAATGACTCACAGTATATCATAAACTATAAAGCATTTTAAAACTACAGTTTTAGATATCTTTAATTGTATACTTTTCCAAATCATACACAGAGTGAGAGACTTTTGAGCTAGAAAAAGTTATGAGTCATTTATTCCAACTATCAATTTTTTCTCAAGTGAGGATAATGAGACCTGATTAACATGTTATAGTGAAAAAAATTGTTTAAGAATCAGAATATTTAGATTTTACTCCCATTCTACCACTTACTACCTGTGTGATGTTGACCAACTACTTAATTTCTTTAAGCCTCCTTTTTCTGAGTTGGTAAATCTGGAATAATACTCTCATAATATCTTACATTAGTCACTTTTAGATTTAAATGGAATTATGCATATGAAAATGATTTATGGCCGGGCACGGTGGCTCACTCCTGTAATCCCAGCACTTTGGGAGGCCGAGGCGGGTGGATCACGAGGTCAAGAGATCGAGACCATCCTGGTCAACATGGTGAAACCCCGTCTCTACTAAAAATACAAAAAATTAGCTGGGCATGGTGGCGCGTGCCTGTAATCCCAGCTACTCACGAGGCTAAGGCAGGAGAATTGCCTGAACCCAGGAGGCGGAGGTTGCGGTGAGCCGAGATTGTGCCATTGCACTCCAGCCTGGGTAACGAGCGAAAACTCCGACTCACAAAAAAAAAAAAAAAAAAAAAAAAATGATTTATAAAGTAAAACACAAGTATCAGTTTTTATTAGTAAATACTGAGTTATATAAGAATAGCGGGAGGCATAGCCCTTAGAACACAAGTTTCCAAAATCTTAGGCCCAGTTATCATTTATTTGTGATTCAGTTCAGAAGTATTTATTAAACTCTAATTAAATATCTAGGATTTGAAGAACTTGCTGGTATGTTCTACCAAGTAAATGAACAAGGTCAATAAAAAGTAAATGGAAGAGATTTAAATATCTTAAGAAAGTGCTTCAGTTGTGACCATTTACTTATGAATAGGTTTTATGGACAAGCACACTTGGGAATAGAAATACAATAGAGCTATTAGATAGTGAGCATTACTTTAAAAAATACCTCTATTATGGAAGTCTCCTAGCCTCTCCTCTCCTCCACCTCTTGTCCATCTGTCTACACTAGTGAGATTTTGTGTTTTAAATTATCTAAGAAATCTAATTACCAAAGTTTACATTTGAAATGTAATAACTTTTATATTGATTACATATCTGATGCCTTGGGTTTTTTAATTAATTCTCTTTCAAGTTTATGTATACAATTGGAATAATCTATTAACTGCATTTGATTGCATGAAGGAAGTTTTTTAAAAAATAAATTTTTTCTCTGTAAGTTGAATAGTAAAATTTAATATACCTCTAGTTTGTTGTATAATATATACCTGTACTTACTATCTCTATTGAAAAATGTTCTTTTATAGAGCTGCTATGAAATTTGCAATAGCAACTCTGTGTCAATTAACCATCCTAAAATGACTACTATAAAAGTTTCTGTTGTTTATACTAATTTTATCTATTTTAGAAATTTCTTAGTATTTGTGAAATGGATTTGCTATATGACTCAGAAGACAGAGTCATAACCACCTAATTTTATGGGCTTCTGAGTAATGTGTAATTTAAACTGGTGATAGTAGCAATGTATTCTATGAAAGTAATTTTTTATCCTATGACTTAAGAACTCTTCCAGTCTTTTAAATGGACTTTTAGCTTCCATTCATACCTTTGCAGCCAGATTGTCTTCTTCAATACAACTATTGGAAGCAAACAATAAGTAATCACAATCATATACTGTATTTTTTTAAAACATGAAGTACATTAAATTCTTTTTTTCTGAAACTGGTTTTGATCTGAAGTAAATATGCTTCTCTTATATATCTACTTGAGTAACCCCTCACATTTGAACCATTGATTGCAGTTTGAGATTATATACTTACATATCTTATTGTCTTTCTAGGACATTGCTCTCTAATATTTTGTTTCTTAATGATGAGTTTTATACTGTGAAATTACCTATCCCTTTTATCGAAACCATTTGAAAAAAGTTTGTGGAGTGATGGGTATAATATGAAACATTATTATTAAAATAACTGACAGCTTTTTGTTTTTGTCAGTGTTTAGGTTTTAGTCCACTGGTTTACGTTTCTTAAATAGTAATGCCTCTGATTTACCTTTTTATAAGATTATTTAATCAAAAATAGGCCTTTCCACATTTTTTGTTATAAATTAGTTTTCCGAATTAAAATTAAGCTACACAGTGCTACATGTATTTTTTAAACATTCCGAAATTTTCACTACATTTTAGATATTCTGAAATAATTGTCTAATCTAGGGATTATTGAGTAGCTGCTGTTTTTAAAAAGTAGTCTACAGTTGAACCTAAAATTAATGGACCACATCTTATCATATGGTATAGTACTGTATCCTCTGGTGGTCTTTCTTTGCTGGAGTAGAAATATCAATCCTATTTAACCAAACTTAACAGTAGGTAGAGAATTAGCTGGATGGCTTGCTTGTGCTTACTGTCTCTTCTCACTCCTTTTCTCCTCATTTCTTCCTTTGCCCTTTCTCTCTATTCATGATTACTTTCTTTAGTTATTATTTTAAAAGTAGATATTTTCTCCTTTATTAAAAGAAGGCCTCACAGTCTTTTAAAATTATATGAAGTATGCTTTCCTTTTTAATTTTAATCAGTCTGTTTATCCCTCACACTACAGACTGATTTTATTTGTAATCTTTCTTAATTTAGTGAGACAGAAGTTACAAAATAGTGCTGATGTTTCCATTATTTTTCTCCCCATATTGAACATTGCTTTGTTTTGTTTTCTAATATTTTTAGATAGTTACCAAATTCTTGATTAAATGTGAACCAAGATTGATTTCATACTGTATTTCTGGATCTTCTTATTGTTGATCAAGAAAGTAAACTCTGCCTTATTTTGCTCCCAAATTCCCCTTTAACTTGACTTGTCTTTGGTGGGAAGATTTAAGAGGTGGGCAGACCACAGAAGAAGTAGGAGGCATATAGCATATAATTGAATAAAGAGGATGGAGTACTATTTACTCATTTTAAGTATCACCAAGGGATAATCCTAGGTGCAATTCCTAGTTTTTTGTGACCAGAGGGCTGAAGAACCAAGAAATGTTCTTTAGCATTTACAATAAATTTAGAAGGCAATATCAGCTGCCTCCTTGTAGAAATAATAGTCTCATTTTTTTTTTTGAAGACCCATTTAGAGAACCAAATTCATAAATAACCTCAAGTGCTAGAAACCATACATTAGACTGTATATGAATATTGCTTTACCATAGATTTGTTTATGTATTTAATAAAGGAACACCTTAACTGGTAACTTAATTTTCTTAGATTTATAATACAATCTAAGGGAAAAGATTATTACTTGACATTAATGTTAATAACCTAAAGTTGACTTAATCTCTAACATAATTTTTCCTAGTTGCTTTTTAGTTAAATGGAATTGCATATGGAGTTTTAAGTGTCTTTTTGTCTATTAGTTGTATATTGATGTAAAAATCTTGACTTCCAGTGTTTTCAAGAAAATCTACCACCAAGAATAAGAGGACTTAATAGACCTGTTAAAAATCAGTCTTTTTATCCCTCACACTACAGACTGATTTTATTTGTAATCTTTCTTAATCCAGTGAGACAGAAGTTACAAAATATTGCTGATGTTTCTTAATGGGCCTGATTCTGCAGTGTTTTCCTTATGTTTACATGTATTAGGCAACTTAATTTGATACCATGAGAATAAAAACATTTAATAATTTCTCTCCTGAACACGAATGCCTTTTTGGTTTTTTCCCCAGCTATCAGGTACATATTACATTGTCATTTAAATGTCTGGTTTGCGACAGCATGGAACTTTAAAGGATCAAGTTTTTGGGAGTATTCCACAGTTTTGTTTTTTTTACCGTTATGTTATATCTTGGCTTATGTGACTTTCATTCTTGGTGTTTGAACCTTAGATAAAGGAACTATTTTAAAGTTTTTTGCTGTATACTAAGTTGAATTTCCCCCCTGCAGAATCTTTTAATGGGTCTCCCACAGGAAGCATAAATTTGGTAAGTACTATTATGGGTACTTTAATTATGAAAGTGATTTGAAAATAGTGTAAAAGACTGAGACTTAACATAGGTAAATACATTATATATAAACAGGCCCCCAAATCATCCTTTAGTATTGTAAAAAGTTACTATGCTTTTAGGAAATGCTAAGTTCACATATAAGGTATCTATGAATTAGAACTTAAAAATATTTTATCTTTACTTTAAAAATTGGCTTAGGTTACACCTGCATAATTGCTTTTGTGCATTTTATAAATTGATTTCATTATTTTCTGTTCCAATATTTATGTGTTTAAATTACTGACCAGTGCTATGACAGGCAATAAGTTTGTGACACACAAATGTTTATATTGGAATCTTTTTTCTCCTCTTGTATTTAGAAAGAAATATAAAACTAGTAGGGATAACCAAAAACCAAGAGGTATTTCTTAAATTCTATACTAAAACAAATTCAGGTCATTGTAAAAAAAATTTTTTTTGTAAGTTTAGACAGTTTTACAAAAACTACATATTTATGATTAGAGATTAGAATGACATGTTTTTAGAATCTCAACTGTCATTGGCGTTTTATATATTCAGGGTAAAGCCTAAAATAATGAACATTTCAGTTCTCTTGTATATTCAGCATTGTCGTTGAATAACTTGTTTTCTGAGATTCTGTTAGGAGGAAATATTAGAAAGGTTTCAGTTCAGTTTGGCTGGGTACGGGAGGGGGAAAACAGGTAAGGTGTTGTTTTGTTTTTCGTCCTACCTGCATTACTTTTTGTTTTAGACCTTTTGTAATAGCTAAATGTTTTACAGGTAGTTTTTCTTAGGTGTTATCTATATTACCATGTTTACTTCTAAAATAACCTTATTGAGTAAATGTTTTGTTACTGTATTATGAAACACTAAAGCAAATCTGCCGTGGAATTGTCAGATACTTTGTAACTTTTAAAATGTTTTCCTAAATCATTTGGTATTATTACTGTTTTCTTGTTACACTCCAGAGCTTTAAACAAAAAGAAATTTCTCCTAGAGCTTGAAGGAAGTGTTAAAAATAATGTTCGTTATACAGCAGAGTTTCCAAATGTGACAAAACTCTTCCTTGGTTTGAAAGTTTTTAGTATTCACATTTGTAGTGCTTGTGTAAATGTTTAAACACTAGTAAAAAAAAATTTTTTTCTTTATTCCATGTCTGGAATAAATGCTTTTCCAAATAAGAGAAATCTCTTTTGTCACATGTTAATATAAACCAGAATAGTCTCTGGATCAAAGAAAGGTCATACTTGAGGTCAGTGACTTGGAGTATTTTATTATTCCTGTAAATCTGTTTAATTCATACTTTTAAGTAGTGGGACCATGTAGGCAAATTTTAGTGAATATCTGCATTTTAAAAATACGTTAAGATTGTAAACTAGATCACGATAGTTTATTCCAATATACTAAACAAAGGAGATATTTAATGTGCTTGGTGTTTTGTACATTTGCCATTGGTAGCTGGGTAGGTAAATTATAAGCATTTCTGTTAGTGCCATTATGGCTGTGTTTGATTAACTATCATAGTAAAATTGAATTTTCAATTTTTGTCTTAGTGTTAAAAAACACCTTTGCTTGCAAGGAGTTTAAGAACCATAACTTAAAGAGCACTTTGCAAATTGTGCGTATTTCAATATAGCATTAATGAACTGGTTTTGAAATCACAATTCTCTTTTAAGTAATCAGTTCTTACATTTCTAAATCAAATGTAGTTTTATAAATTATATTTTACCAATTGTAACTTTATGGTTTACCTGATATTTACTTGTGTACTATAACTAATGTTTTTATCATATGTAACAAAAACAGTATTTACAAATTGCGTATTTTAAATGAGATAAAAAGACATTTTTCCACAAAGCCTTTTAACAACTTTTGAATTGCATAGTTTGAGATGCTAACATGTTTAAGGAGATAAATACATTTAGCATTTTAAATGTTAACATTACAAGGGAAGGTTACCATTATTAATAATGCTTTGTTTAAAAAAGTAGATTGTGTTACCTGTGCTGGCTTATAAACAGAAGAAGTTACAGTAGGTAATATAAATTTGGTAGAATATTCCATTTCCTCTGAGTCTTCTTTCACATAAAAATGTTGAAGTAAATGTTGTGCTATTTCTATTAAAATGTTTTCTTGAGCACGTAAAAAGAAGTGCATTCTTTTTTTCCCCCCCAAAGTATTTTCATTCACAGTGTGTCCTGACAGAGATGTAGAGCAGGTATTAGCCCCATTTTACTGTTGGGAAACTGAAATCCGAGAAAGTAGTTGATATGGCTAAAGCCTCTTAAGGTACATTGGTAGTAGAGCATGGACTAGATCTCATTTAATTTGATGTCTTTGCCATTTGAGTTGACTAGGGAAGTCTTGTGGATTATCTGTATAAAGTCTTGTGGATTATCTGTAGAAAATCTATGTAATTCTGTCTCTAGAATTATCACGTTTTGCTTCTACTAACAATCAGTTTTTAGTAGATAAATTTTTTACGTTCTTAGAATGCAGTTGCCTTAATTTAAGTGACTTTGTGTCATATGGATGGTTGCATTTAAGTCATTTAGATGACTTTTTTAGTAATAGTAATAGTAATATTATGTTAGGACTCAAAAGCTCATTCACATTCTATTATTTTTAAAGTGTGAAATATATCTGAGTTATGTAACATGAATATGTGACATGTGAATAATGTAAGTACATGAAATATGTCTAAATTATATGTGTTTGGTGTCCTGAAGACCACTCCCAGGCTCAGTGATTTGCTAAGAAAACTCACAGGACCCACCATAGACTTACTCACGGCTAGAATTTCTTAACATGAAAGGTTATAAAGCAAAATCAGCAAGACAACATGTGTAAAATGTTGCCACCAGGAAAACTCATTGGAGACTAAATGTACAGGTTTTCTATCGGAGGCAGATTACATCACACACACCAAAATTTCGGACTCCCAGAAGGAAAGCAGGTGTTCAGCATAAACAATTGTTGTATAGTTAGTTTAGGTATAGTAAACCACTCTTACTGGTTAGGGAATGCTGGGAACCTTGCCTAAATTTGAGTTCCCAGATTCTGAAAGCAGTCTTTTCTAAGCAGAGCAGTTGTAGGCTGCCATGTTAACTCTGCAGTCTGATTTCATTGTATGAATGTGTTCCTTTTTATGTATGTGTGTATATATGTATATGTGGCAAAACATTTTTAAAGTTTAGACCCAAAGGCCGTAGTTATAAAAGATTCATTTTGAGTCAATAGGAATTTGTTTATGGAGTTGCTTTTGAAAATTAATCATTTAAAATCTATCATAGTCTCTGGATTCACCTCATTTAATAAATAATTAGAATAATAGCTAACATTTGTTATATTAGGCAGTTTTCTAAGTGTCTTCTATGTCTTATTTAATCTTCACATAATTCTGTAACTTAGGTGGTATTCTCATTTTATAGATAAGAAATCTGAATTAAATTTAAAAATTATTTCTAAGTTAACAAAAATATTAAGTTAAAAAATACAGAGCTGGTTCTGGTATATTTCAACATAAATGTTAAGAATATGTCTACTTATTTTTATCTAGATTTTCTTGCCATGTAAGGACCATAATTGAAAAGTAACAAGTTACAGTAGATGGACAAGCAATTAAGGATTAAATAATCTAATAGATTATTTATTGCTAAATTATTTTGTTTTATTGTTTCTTAATCTTTGCTTTTTTTCTATTAGCCTAAATAGAAAAGATTATTGTGTGTGGAGGGGATGGAGGGATAGAAATAATATATAGTTTACATGCATGTAAATGAGTAATTGTAATGCATATATGATGTAGAAATCTTTGATACTTTTTTTCCTATAAAATTTTAAAAATTTGTATCCTGATTTTTTTTTTCTCAGTCTTTAGATGACCTTTCAAATGTGTCTTCTGATGACTCAGTACAACTTCATGCCTACATTTCAGACACTGGTAAGAGACTTTGAAGCATAATTATTACATTAAAACTATTTATTATCCCTAAATTACTTTTCACATTTATTTTTACTAACCATGTTTTTTGTTCTTTAGTCATATTTTTTTTTTACTTTTCTTCCGCAGCATGTCCTTCATTAAATTCTATGATATTTATGTTCTTATGTATTTGGGTATTTGATCTAAGATTGTCACTATCAACATTTGAAAATGCTTATATTCTAAGTGTTTTACCATTTCTAATAAACTCTGAAACCATTCTTTTCCTCTTTGATGCTTGGGTCTGGCTGATAATTGTCTGTATAATTCTCATTAAATTTTTTCTGGAGTGATCTTAGTTCAGGATTAGTTTTTATACCTGCAAAGTCAGGCTAGATAACCGTGGTAAATGAAGCCTCCCGGTATAGGAATTCGCAGAACTTCAGGAAGTGCTTGAATGGGGTGAGAAACCTCTAAAACTTTGTGATCATTCAGCATACATGGAGAATTGTTAGTAAACCCAGGAAAAGTTATCAGTTTTCATCAATGCCATTGAGTTATTAGATAATACTAATGAGTATTAAATAATGACAGTTTTCTTATCTGACCTCTCACTCTTCTTAGAATACAAGAGTGTGTTTGTTTGTCATATTATATACTGAAGTGTAAACATACTAAGGTATATACCTTGATTCAATTTTATGCTTACATTTTAGACACTGAAGAGATTTTACAGTATAGTATAGTTTAGAAGACATTAATTTACATCTTTTAAAAATAGTTCTTTGTTTCCTTTTTCTTCTCACTGGAACTGAAGTCTCAATTGACATTTGTTCACTGCCAGATTTCTGGAATAAAACAAGTATTTATTAACTTCTTAAAATGTATGGAAGCACTGTGCTAGGCAATTTTAAGAAACTATTTCTGCCTGACAAACACATATAAACACTGAAGAGGCAGCATAATATAGTGGTGAATAGTACAACTTTTTGACAGAATTCTTTGGGCTCAGACCCCAGCTCTGCCAATTGATAGTTGGGTGAGCCATTTAAAATTAAGGTCTAGTTTAAAAAAAAAAATAGCTGGGTAAACCTGAGTAAGTTCCGTCTTTGTATCTCAATTTCCTTATCTGTAAGATGGGACGGCAATAATAACAATACTACATAATTCATAAGGTTGTTATGGAACTAATTAATTACATTGGTAATTATGCATAACAGGCATCATATTTGATTGTTGGTTCAATAAATATTTTACCAGCTGGACTTCAGAGTCTCTTTGGTTCTAGATCCTGTGTCTTCAACATCTTTGTTTCAAAAAGTAGGAGCTTATAGACTAGTCCAGTGCTACTGAAAGAATGGTCCAAGGAAGCAGTACACACACAAGAGTGGTAGTCTAGTATGTTTGTTGCTTCCTTCATTGAGAAGTCTTGCTTTAAAAAGTATTAGCTAACTTAAACAGTATGATTAGTAATAAAGTTGATTTACATTCTGGTGCTATTTTTTTTACAGAATAAGAATTATTAGCAAATAGTTTGCAGATCACCTGCTATGAGTAACATTGGCCTAATTAATAAAAACAAACCCTTCTAGATAAATCATCATCTTCACAAAACCAGTATCTGTAACTCCCTTATCTTCCTTTAAGTCAAATTACCTTGATGTCTTCTGCATTTCTTTTATAATTACCTCATTATTCTTCCTATCGTGCATGCACCCTGGGTGATCTTCCAAGCCTGTGAATTTTTGACAAATCCTGATTATTCTTTTTTAAAATGCTTTCTTATATTTCTTCTTTTTCACTCCCTGCCATTCTCCTTGTTCTTGTTAATTTTTAATTCATGATGGTTAGCTGCCTAGTTGGCCTCTGCTTTCTATTTTCCTTTCCCAAACCTATCTTGGACACACCTGATAAAAACCATTCCCTTGTTGCCATGCCAACTCCATTGAGAAATGGTGGTTCTCTAACATGATTAAAAAGTGTTGTGCTGTTTGATTTGTATAAGTCTCTGAGAGAAAGATAACTGGACAAGATGAACAGTGAATAGTAGTGCTAATTACAGAGCAAGATGTCCAAAGTGTATTTCTAGGCATACATTTTTTCAATTCAGAAACAGTGATATTACATAGAAAGTGAATGAAAGACAATTTTGAAAAGAAAATACAAATCTTAGTAAAATTTTTATGAAAGTTTGGGAAGAGTTTCTGTCCAACTACTGTTGCCAACAGAGCGTTCTAATGTTTATGCTATTAATTTACCAAGAAGCTATACTGAACTACTTCTGCCGAGTTATACACAAAATAGCAAAATATTTAGCCCCCAAACTTGACCACTTTTATTCACAATTATGAATCAATGTAATCTATTATTGCAAGATCAGTTTTAGACTTCTGGTTAGTATAGTAGTCTGAACTGTTATGGGAAATCCTGCCTTTCACACGTAGAAAGGCTGAAAACAGTATTACAAGAAGAGCGGAAAAGGGAAATCTACAGGTGCCATAGACCATGAGGAAAAATAAATTTAGGGAATTGAAGGGATGTTAAAGCAAGGGGCTCATATAGCATAAAGACCGGGTCTTGATTTTGGTAGGTAGCATTTTCATGTCCTCAAGTTTAGAAGAGGCAGGATGGGCCAAGACTGTGCGAAGCTGGAATAAAGTCCTTCGCATAAATCATAATGTTACAAAAGGCAGCTTGATGTCAAAGAGGAACTAGGAAAACTTAGCCTACCTTCAGCAGAAAGAACAAGAAATGTCAAGATCGTGATTGGAAATGGTATCTGTTGTCACCCACAAAAAATTGAAAGCCCAGCTGGCATCCCATCATGGGTGTGTCTGGACTTAGCTGTCCTCAAGTGATTATGTATCACAAAATTTCAAGCTAGAGAGTTAGTATTAAAATTATTTCTGAATCACTGAAACCAGCAGTTAGAGTGGTGACACTTGACACTGTTCCATGTGAATGTTTCCCTAGCCCAGGGCACTCAGAAGACCCAGGGAGAAATAAAACCAGTTGGAAATGAGCTTACAGAAAGCAATTAATAGCAACAGAGAGAAATAGGAACCACAATAAGAGAAAGCCAACAGAACCAGCAGATAATTTGCATCCTGTGAACCTGGAGATACCAGTCTTAATAGACTGGGTCATAAGTATGTTAAAAATATTCCTTGAAAGAAATCCTGTGACAAGAATAAACACTATGAAAACCAAATAAAATTCTAGAGATAAAAAAATACAGTGATTGAAATTAAGGTCAGAGGATAGATTAAGAAATAGACCAGATACAGATGAGAAGAGACTCAACTTCTGGAGACCAGATTCTAGAGTGCAGGAAGAGAAAGAAATGGAACATCAGAGAGACAAGTTAAAGAAAAGTATTTGAAGTGCATATCCTTACTTAAGATTAGTACAAAATGGGAATGGGCTTTGATTTTAAAGATTACCTGACTTGCTTGGTATGTGGCAAATTAATAGGAAAATACTTTGAAAAAAAAATGCCCAGAATAAACTGTACTTGTGAACTATTTAACATTATGAAAGAAAAATAAAATTGCCAGAGATAAATCTTATCCTGTGGCTGTTGCTGTTTAGTTGTAAAGCTTTTAATTGTAATACAACTGAAGAGTGAAGTCTAGTACAAAATCTTATTTATTTTTTTCTATATTAAATTTAAGAAATTCTAATTTTACACTCTGAGGTATGTTAGATGTAGTAATGTAATGATGTAGTGATGTGGTAACAGAAAGCTCTTTGGAAGAGAGAATCGTAATAGATACTGCTTTGTGGTTGATAGTGTCACACTAAACTTAGTTTATTTTGTATTGTAGCCATTATTTGTAATACCTTATGAATGTGAGTATGGAGGATGGGAATCTTTCCTTTGGGGACATCCTTTTGTCTCAGTCTGTCATTTCAGATTCTTCTTCATTTCATATTATCTTTTTTGTTTTCTTCGTCTTCCTCCTTTTTTGTGTCTTTGTTCCTCTTCATTTTGTTTTAAATGACTAGTATATGCTGACTATGACCCATATGCTGTGGCAGGCGTTTGTAATGATCATGGCAAGACATATGCATTATATGCCATCACGGTACACCGGCGTAACCTAAACAGTGAGGAAATGTGGAAAACCTATCGTCGTTATAGTGACTTTCATGACTTCCACATGAGAATCACTGAACAGGTAATAAAGTTTTAAAAACTTGTGCATTTTATGTTGTTTCTTGATTTGATTTTGATTACAAATAATTCTGAGGATGCTCAGATATTAATTTTATCAAAGGTAAGAATATTTGGTATAGTCACCATAAATCCTAGAATTAATCTGAGCATTTAAGTAATAAATGTTGAACACTTTATCAGTCCTAACCATTGTGGACTAGTGACAAAATATCAAGGGTAAAAATATCTTGGAAAATTAAAGTGAATACATGTTTCTGATTTTAAAATATGTGTGTGTATATTGTGCTTTTCAGAGTTTTTTGGGCTTAGTTTGAAAGTAGGGATGGGCATTGCTGTAGTACATTTTGTGCTTTTGTTTTTGAAGGCATAATTTAAACCTAGAAGCTAGTTTAAATGGCAGCTTCATCTAGCAGTGTAATGGTGAAGTGAATCCTTGATACATCACTCAAGTTATTTTGAATCACAACCTAAAATAAATTTAATATTAACCAAATCATATTTTCAGTTCTTACTAATATAACCCTCTTATTTTATAGAAGTAATTTAAAAGGACTCTTAAAAAATCTAAAGAAATTATTTCCCTGTCCTATTTTTTAATTAAATATTTTCTCAAAACAATAAAAGATCTTTGATGAATTGGAATAAATGATCTATGAAATTTATTTTAACTCTTAAAAAGTCCTTGATTCATTCAGGGTTTTAAGGTATACAACTGGTATTAAACCAATAATAGTTAAAAGTGACATCTGATTGGGTGAACTAAAGCTTTGCAATGACATTGTACTACTTAAGAAATCAGAAAATATCTTTTTTAACTTGATAGTGAAAAATCTATAGTTGGCACCATGATAATCTTATTAAAATATCTTGTGGATAGAGTGAGATAAACTATTAATAGCTTTAAAGTGATGAAAAACAGGTTAATGTTGACTTCTGAAGCCTATATTAAAAGGACTTTTTTATTAGTAAGAAAATTAAATTAATAACTTTGGACATGCGCATTCTTCTGTTCTTATGTCGAATAGAACCTTTCTTCATGTTTAGCTTGATTCGTTTGCAGAGATTAAATAATTTTTGTGCCCCACATTGAAGAAATAATTTACTTTTAAAAATATTACCTGTTTGAGGACGGGGCACTGTGGCTCACACCTGTAATCCAGCAGTTTGGGAGGCCGAGGCAGGCAGATCATGAGGTCAGGAGTTCAAGAACAGCCTGGCCAGCATGGTGAAACCCTATCTCTACTAAAAATGCAAAAAATTAGCTGGACATAGTGACGGGTACCTGTAATTCCAGCTACTCAGGAGGCGAGGCAGGAGAATTGCTTGAAACTGGGAGGCGGAGCTTGCCTTGAGTTGAGATCACGCCACTGCACTCCAACCTGGGTGACAGTGAGACTCCATCTCAAAAAAAAAAAAAAAAAAAAAAAAATACCTGTTTGATATTGTTCTAAAAGCATATAGCTCATATATCTTTTTAATTTTCGTCCATATACTTCAACCAAACATGATAATTTAAAAAATAATTTGAATTAGTAAAAGTAGTTTTATTTATTTGCAGGTTAATTTACTTGCAAATTAAAGAGAGTTTAGTATAATATGAAATGTTCTTTGAGTAAATAGTTGTAATTTTCTTTCTAGTTAAATGAATAACCATTCCCTAACTCAGATGTTCTGGACTATAACTGTAGGCATTATGTTTATATATTGACAAACATGAATGAAGAACATACGTTTTAAGAAAACTTTAAGAGGATAGTTCATACAGAAATTTCCCCTTTCAGTTCAGCATCAGAAGTTACATGAAATTGATACAGCACAATTTCTTTTTCAAACAGCTCAGTGCAAGTGAAATGGATGTGTTTTGACTTGGGGTGTGTGGGTGTGTGTGTGTGTGTGTGTGTGTGTGTGTGTGTGTGTGTGTGTTTCTTACAAAGTCACAGTAGTTTTGATTACCTAAGTATTTAAATTGCTCACAGAACTTAAGAAATTAAAGACTCCTCTTTTAAATGAAAATGAGGTTTTAGTAAAATATTAAGTATCTGTAAATAAGACTTAGGGTGTTTGCCTTTTAGCTCAGCCTTATCTATATTTTTAAAACTCAAATCCCTAATAAAATAATGGAAGAAAAATGTAATGACTTGTAATTCAGCAGTGGGTCACAGTACAGCCAGCTAACATGATTAAATAGTAACTGCATAGAACTTTTAAAGTAAAATTATTTTAAAACAAGTTTCATTTTGTTTATGTACTTTGACAATCTGACATTTTTCCAAGGCCCAGTGCAGTGGTTCATGCCTGTAATCCCAGCACTTTGGGAGGCTGAGGTGGGCAGATTGTTTGAGCTCAGGAGTTTGAGACCAGCTAAGAAAACATAGCCAAACCTTGTCTCTACAAAAAATACAAAAATGTAGCTGGGCATGTTGGTGCCTGTCTGTAGTCCCAGCTATTCTGGAGGCTGCGGTGGGAGGATCACTTGAGCCTGGGAGGTGGAGGTTGCAGTGAGCCAAGATCCTGCCACAGCACTCCAGCCTGGGTGACAGAGTGAGACTCTGTTCCGTAAATAAATAAATGCATGCATGCATACATACACATATAACAAGCTAAATGTATGAGCTATCATTTATTTTCTTTAAAAATTTGAATAATCTTATTTGATATTTTATGGAGATGTATAAGGATTAAAACAAAATAATTAAAATGTTAAATGACATTATGTTGGAAATTGCCTGAACTGCTCATTCATTGATTTAAAATATTTATTAAATTTTTCCTATGTCTCTGGTACTTGGTGCTAGCAACATAACATGGAACAAGACAAACTAAGTCCTTGGCTCTAAGAGCTTGTAGTATAGTCACTACTGTGCATTTCTATTTTATTTGGTGAAATCTACATAGGTATAGGTAAACTAATAATGATTTAAATGTTAATAACATTATTCATTAAGGTAACTGAGTAAAAATGTGCACATATGTTAAACATATCTTGAATTCTTTTAATACAAAATTTCAAATATGTTCTTTAAATTTTCCATCAGTATATTAGGAATCTAAACTTGGTGTGTTTAATATAGAAAAGTAAGATCTTTGATTTTAGAATGTCCATGATTTATGTGTAGTATTTGAATTATTTGTAAACATTAAAATCCTCTTATAATTTATTTTAGTTCTTTTGGGTGAATTTGTAATTTTTTTTATGTGCCTTTAAAAAACATTTTCATGAATTTTTGGCAGAGGAAATTATATAACTATTCAAGGAATGGGCAATTTTTTGCTTGTTCTTCAAAATAATCTTTTAAATAGCAAGTTTATGATGAATTAATACGGAGTATAGATTTTTACATGTTCTCCCTTGCTTTTATAGTTTGAGAAAATTGTTAAGTGATTTATGTTTCTTTTCCAGATAGACAACTTAAGAAGGAATATATTTTAGTCATTTAGGCTTTAGGAAAATAACTGTTACTGGTTTTTTTTTTTTTATTAGTAGTAAGGTTTAATGTTTTAAAGTTTATGAAATAAATTGCTATTTTAATGGGTACTGTCATATTTCCTTGGTATATTAGTTTGGTAGTGCTGCCCTAATAAAATACCACCAACTAGGTGACCCAAAACAACAAATTAATTTTCTTACAGTTCCAGAGGCTAGAAATCAAAGATCAAGGTATTGACAAGTTTGGTTTGCCATGAGGCCTCCCTTCTTGGCTTGTAGATGGCAGGGTTCTTGCCGTGTCCTTACATGGCCATATCCTTATGTGCATGCATTCCTGTTGTCTTTTAGCGTGTCCAAATTTTCTTTTCTGATAGGATACCGGTCAGGTTGGTTTGGGGCCTACCCTAAGGGGCTCATTTAAACTTAATCATCTCTTTAAGGGCTTTATCTCTGAATTCAGTCACAATCTGAGGTACTGATAGGCCTTCAACATGAATTTGAGGAAATACAGTAGAGGCCCACAAGACTTGGTAATGCCAGAAAAAAAAACACATATATTTTCTAAAATTGAGTGAGTAGTTTAATATAATGTGGATAGGTCATATTGGAGGAAATATCTTTTAGGACACCTTGGAAAAGTAAATTTGCGCCCCCAAAATTTTTTTGACATGTGATATTCAGGAGGACCCATTTCTAATACTTTTGTGAATCACAGAATTTGGTAATACTGCTATAGTATAATGTTTTCTCTGTAAATTGCCTCTACCCTTTTTTGGTTTTCCTGCGAATATGGGAACAAAAAAACCACTTTTTAACTTTCATGTATAACATATAATGAACTTGTTCAAATTTTAGCTCTAAGCAGCCATTAGATTTGTCCTTACTTTAACAATGTATCACAGTCTTCCAGTTGGGGGATGAATATTATCCTAATACTTTTTATTTCTTTTTAATCTCTGCACCAAGAATTAGTTTTCCTTACAGAGACATTGTTGTTTTGAACAAATACTGTTATAAAAAGTTTGTTTCACTTTAGGATATGTATCAAATGGGAAAAATGGTGAGGCTGTTTGAAATTTTAGGTACTAAGCTGTTGATCACGTACAGTCACTAGTTAAATGACTTTGCTCTTACACTATTTTAGCAGCTAGCATGGTTAAAAATCTGTGTTTTAGCAAGGCATTATAGATTACTGTGATGGACCTTTGAAGGTGCATCCAAATGTTAAGTCTGTAAGTACTAGACTTTTGCTGTACACATTTACTTTGTGTTTGTGATTTTACAAAGATAAAATTGTTCTTAATTTTTTTTTGTTAGTGTAATCTATGAGTTTGTGTTTAATGGGGTTGATGGGGCAAAGGTATCAATATTTATTATAATTGTATATGTACAGGATTATAATTAGCTGTTATCTATAGTTTGAAATTTGCCTTTTTATTTGCTAGTACTTTATTCACTGGTCCAAGGCTTATTAAGGAAAATATTTTTTCAAAACCTTTTATTATGAAAATTTTGAACAATCTCAACATGAGGGAGAATATTAAATGAAACCCCATTGGTCAATATCCATCTTCATCATTTATGCTAGTTTGTCATTCTTGATTTAAAATACTTTTTAAATAATATTAGAACTGTGTTTTGAGAATATTTGGACAATGTTTTTTATTTTCTGATTTTTGCTTAGTATATTGCAAAATAATCTTTTGAAGATGTTTTTAATTTGTAGAGAAATCATCAGTTTGGAAATTCTTTTGTCTCTATAAAACATGCTACTAAATGTATTTTGTCTTACAGTTTGAAAGTCTATCAAGCATATTGAAGCTTCCTGGAAAAAAGACTTTTAATAATATGGATAGAGATTTTTTAGAAAAGAGAAAAAAGGATCTAAATGCATACTTGCAGGTAAGTTCATGCTTACTATTACCCACAGATTTTCATTTAATATAGCACACAGGTAGAGCAGAATGTTTTTACTGTGATTGCAGGATAGCAACCACTTTTGTGCAGTATGTCAAATGTGATATGTAGTCTGCTTAGTAATTTATAAACTTTATTTTTGTGTTCAATGATTAACTTAGAAGTTTTCTAAACACTTAGTGTTAGGGATTTTGCCTGTTTGTGTTTAGATAAATGCAAATGCCTCTCTTCTCCTGGCTTAAGGCAAAATGTCTGTCATCATTTTTATGACCTAGGTCAAACGTTTGATTTTTTTAAAGTGCTTACTTTATAATTCCATTAATATCTGCATCAGTTATTTACAAGATTCTTAAGAAAAAAATCTTTTATCATAAAGGTATCTTTTAAATATCACAATATTACATGCTTCTTAGCAAATAAACTCAGTATGTCAAAACTTGTTCCACTGAAGGAACTAAGCTAGAATGTTTGTTATATTAGCAGTTGTGAAAGCAGTAGTTTGTTAAGGGCTTCCATATAACACTTGAATGTTTTCGTTTGGATTATTTTATGTACTTTATTTCATTTATTTTTGTTTGGATTATTTTATGTATTTTATTTCATACTATTTTGTCTCTCTTGAGACAGAGTCTTGCTGTGTCACCCATGCTGGAGTGCAGTGGTGCAGTTATAGCTCACTGCAACTTTGAACTCCTGCGTTCAAGGGAGCCTCCTGCTTCAGCCTGCTGAGAAGCTAGAACTACAGGTGCATGCCACTGTGCCTGGCTAATTTTTTAAATTTTTTGTAGAGATGGGGTCTTGCCTTGTTGCCCAGGCTGATCTTGTATTCCTGGCTCGAGCAGTTCTTCCGCCTCAACCTCCTAAAGTGCTGGTGTTAGAGGCATGAGCCACCTTGCCCAGCTTATTTAATGTTAACTCTAGAATTGTTATGCAAATAACAACAGTTTTCTAACCTGGATCTTCTTAGTATAAGCTATAATATCTGAAAATAGAATAGTAAATATATTTGGACAACTTTCACCTTAGATACACTGAAAGTCAAAGTAGATGAGGTGAAGATATATACACCAGACTGTTAATTGTCATGAAATTATTGGTGACTTTGTCTTAACTGTGTAATTGGATTTTTAAAAATATAAATCAGTATTTTTTAACTATACATTTTTTATGAGCTAAAATTATAAACCGTAATCTCTAGCATCCTGTTAGTTTAAGATAATCTTTTTTCTTCCTGTTAGTTACTATTAGCTCCTGAAATGATGAAGGCATCCCCAGCTTTAGCGCACTATGTGTATGATTTCCTTGAGAACAAAGCCTACAGTAAAGGAAAAGGGGATTTTGCTCGCAAGGTAAGTAAGCAGACCATTAAATTGGGTTTCTTTTTAGGTCTGTTTTCTTACTTTGTTTATAATAAAAGAAAATAAATTTAGATTTGTATGTGTGTTTTAAAACTAGGAATTTTGTTAAGTTCTCCTCAGCATGTTTATCACTATTGATAGGAACATATACATATAAACTTCTATCTTCACATGTTTATAATTCAGCAGACGCGTGAAAGGAAGAAAAAAACAATTTGAAATGGTACATTAAGAAAAGTTTGCCTGAGACAAGTCACAAGCTTTTCATTATCTGTAGAGGGAAATGTTTCATGCTGAGAGAAAATGTTGTTTACTTGGAATAATGATAAAAATACTAAATAGGATATGTTCTGAAAGTATGCCTCTTGAGAAAAATCTTTTATATGAAATATTTTAAATAATTTAAAATAGGATTTAAGACCCATACTTGGAATAAAATGGTAAGGTAAGACAGTAAATAAGTGTTTAAATTAGGTAGGATAGCTTAGGGGGTAAGAATACAAGCTTTGAAATTGGGCAGCCTTTTGGTTCAAATCCCCGCTCTGCTCTTTACTAGCTGTGACCTTGAGCATGTTACTGAACCTTTGGTATTTCAGTTTACTCAAGAAATGAAGTTTTTTGTTTTGTTTTGTTTGTTAGACGGAGTCTTGCTTTGTCAACAGGCTGGAGTGCAGTTATGTGAACTCGGCTTGCTGCACTCTCTGCTTCCTGGGTTGAAGCAATTCTCCTGCCTCAGCTTCCTGAATAGCTGGGACTGCAGATGCACCACGATGCCCAGCTAATTTTTGTACTTTTTTGTAGAGATGGAGTTTGCTGGCCAGGATGGTCTTGATCTCTTGACCTGGTGATCTGCCTGCCTCAGCCTCCCAAAGTGCTGGGATTACAGGTGTGAGCCACCGAGCCTGGCCAAGAAATGAAGATTTAAATGTCATTAGAGTACTATATGACTCATATAGTATTCTTTATATTACAGTGCCTGGAAAATTAATAAACCTCTCAGTAAATGTTTGCTCTTAGTAATAGCAGCAATACAAGCAGGAGCAGCAGTGGGGGAAGCTGGTATTTATACCAGTCTTTGTATTTTATCACTTTTTATAAGTTTGAAAGTATTTCAAAATGACAATGTAAAAAGAATAAGGACTTTCTCACTATTCTTCAGCCCCCTAAAAAGACCAACTTTTTTTTTTTTTTTAATTTAAGGAATTAATACAAAATAATTAAGAATTAACAATTATAGGAAGTTCAGGCCAGGCATGGTGTCATGCCTGTAATTCTAACACTTTGGAAGGCTGAGTTGGGTAGATTGCTTGGGCCTAGGAGTTCGAGACTAACCCTGGTAACATAGTGAGACCCTGTCTCTACAAAAAATTAAAAATAGCTGGGCATGGTAGTCCCAGATACTCAAGAGGCTGAGGTGTAAGGATCGCTTGAGCTTGGGAGGCCAAGGCTGCAGTGAGCCATGGTCATGCCACTGAACTCCAGCCTGGGTGACAGAGCCAGACTGTCTCAAAAAACTAAAAAAACAACTTTCATATGATTACTTTAGGATTTTTGATTATATAGGTTGGTGCAAAAGTAATTGCAGTTTTTGGACATTAAAAAAATAATAATGGCAAAAACCACAGTTACTATTTGCACCAACCTAATAACATTTCTAAGTTAGTGTTTTATTTTAATAACAAGTTCCAGAGTGTGGCCCTTATAATGCAGGGGAAAAATACATGGCGCTTATCTGTGTATTTCATGATTGAAGTAATGGAGTTAAATTCCCAGTTTAAGTAGTTTTATTGTCACTAGAGATGCATTTTAGTCTTCTATGTTTTTTATGTTTATGTGTCTCTTCTCCTCTAAAGGTGGTATCCATTTTAAGATAAACTAATAAATTGATAACAGCTTTTGGAGATAAAAGAAATATTAAAGTATACATTTTTTTAACCAAACAACAATAACACATGTGTATGTCCAAACAGTTATATACCACTTATTTTTAAAATTAGTAATGGAGTCTACCTATCCTTCTGATTCATTTCTGGAATTCCACAATAAATACGTTTTTCATAAACCACATTGGCGATAACCAAGGTCATATTGGCCTCCTTAGAGTGTCAGAATAATTTTTATGCATATCAAGGATTTGAGATTTCCAGCTATATTTTCTTTTTGGCTAAATGATAGTTTAATATTTTTCTCCTTAGAGAAAAATATTAAATATTTTTAATATTTATTAAATATTAATAAAAATTTATTAATAATAAATATTAGAGAGGTGGCAGTGTTTCCTCAAGCTGCACATTTTAAATGTTGTATTGTGCTTTAATGTTCACTGATAATTTAATAGCTATTGAATAAGATCATCTCCAAACATTTTATCAGTGGCTGTTCAGAACTTAAGAAATAGTACTTCACAACACGTTTATTTGGTCACACAATGAGTCCCAGCTTTGGAAAATCTGTGGAACATTTCTAGAAAGAGTGACTGACAAGTAGCTTTCCTCTGTGCACACAGTATCTTTCTATCCAGTTTTGTATCATGTTGAAGGCATTTTAAGCTAAAATTAGAGATGTAAATTTAAGTTAAAATACCATTGTGTTTATGTTGTTAACAATACAAATAACTGAGCTGGGGTAGTAATTGAATACACAGCATCTGTGTATGAACAGCTAAGTGTATGCTTATGCTGGCAATCTATAATCTACTCCTGTACGTGACCATCTGAAAGTTTTTCTTTTTTTCTAAAAATCTGCTTTAAAACAAATCTTGTTTTTGGAAATGTTTTCATACAATAATGGACTCTGCTTTTATGCTTATGAAATTCTTCTTTCATGGTTAAGCAGCAGTCACCTATAGAGGTTTTTCATTCTTCTTACCCCAATTCCTTCCTAATACAAATGCTTGGGCTTTGCCTTTGGGGAAAAAAAAAATGCTTCTGTACTTCTGGGATGCTGCACAGACAACTATTTTTAATTATTAGGAAATTTGTTATATAGATTTAGTTTCTCTTCGAGTATCAATGGTAGTATAGCCTTATGCCTAGATAACCATGTGAGATAGTATCCATTTAACCAATTCATAATAGCTAAACTCAGGTTTCTGCTGTGAAGTGTGAGATGTATAAATTTCTAAAATATTTTTGAGGATATCACACGATTGTAACTCAAGTTGGGGGTTAAATTGAAGTTTATGCCTTTTATGCTTCTGAAATGCTATTTCTTCTGTGACTTATTAGAGAGGTGGCAATGTTTCCTCAAGCTGCACATTTTAAATGTTGTATTGTGCTTTAATGCTTATCTCTCTTTAGAATTCTATGCTATGATCTCATTAGCTTATTTATATGTTAATTACCATTTAAAAGAAAAGGCCACAGTGTTGCAAATTATGTCCTGATTAATTTGAACAAATTGTTCTCGTTGACCAAAAACTACAGGTTATAGAATTAGAATTACACATGTGCATGCATGCACGCACATGTGCATCGTATGCATGAACACACGCAAGAATTAGCCACACATGAGAATTAACTTCATCTTTTTATCTTTTTGTTTCTCTCCAACAGTAGTTGTGTTTTTCAAATCCTTATTCAAGCTAATTTCTGTCCTTTGGTTTTAATCTGAGTTGTACTCTACCAGTGCCCCTCTTAGGGTTGGATATTCCATCAAGCATATCTGTGGTACTATTCGCTGAGCGTAAGCCAGGGAGTAACCAGCCAAAACTCTCAGCCTTTGTACAGTTACCTTGAAATTCACTTTTTGTTAATACTCATCTTACCTCTTCTAGTTTTTCTTGATGGAAGCCATGAAAAATATTATTAGTGTGAAGTAATTTTGTCTTCTTCTCATCTTTTAACATTGCTGTGATTACTAAGGAGTGAGGTTCAGTTTTGTTACTGTTACTCATTTTTTTCTCTTTGCATGGAACATAATTTCTTGTCCCTGATAGCTTTTGTGATGCTTAACATTTTTTGGAAGATATTCCTGTAGTTTTGTATGACTTTGGTTTTATGTCTTTTCTTTGATTTCTTTGTTTCTGTTAAAAATTTCTCAGAGAGTCCCACGTGCAGTTACTGTGGTTTTTTTAGATGTCTCTTTTTTTATAAATTGAAATCATTTTACATTTTATAGCCATATATCAATTTTTTCCTTCTGTCACTGAAGATTTGTATTTCTTCTTATATCTCTAGTTGTATTTCTTTTTATAGTTTTTGTATTCCACCTTACTAAACTATGATTTACATGTCTGATTTGCAGTGTTGTTTTCCTTCTTTATAATGAACTTCAAATTTTCTCTGTAGATTTTAATTGCATATATAATGTATTCTAAAATTGTTTTTTAAGAATAAATCTTAAATACTAGTTATTTCATTTTTCTATTTATTTTACCCGATTGTTTTCTGTTCAGTATGAACTCGAAATTCCCAGTTGTTGCCTTGAGCTTTGACAGAAGTATATGGTGGCTAATTCTAGTTGCATCAGCTTCTGTTTTGGAAAACCTTTTTTTCTTATACAATTTCGAATGGAAAACTTTTTCATTCAAAATTTCTTTAATAAGAAGGCAGCCAAAGCTTATGGTGATTTTCTAAAAATAGAAAATTTTAAATCATATGGGTATATGATTTAAATTTTTAAATCATACACAAATTTTTAAATCATATGTATATGTGAAAATACTTTTGTTTTTTGTGACAAGGGTCTCACTTTTGCACAGGCTGGAGTATATAGAGTGCAGTGATGTGATCACGGTTCACTGCAGTCTTGAACTCGTGGGATCTAGCCATCCTCTTGCCTCAGCTTCCCCAGTAGCTGGGACCGCAGGTGTGTACCACCACGCTTGGCTTTTTTTCTTTTTTTGTAGAGATGAGGTCTCACTTTGTTGCCCAGGATGGTCTCAAACTCCTCGGTTCAAGTGATCCTCCTGTTACAGCCGGCCAGAGTGCTGGGATTATAGGCATGAACCACTGTGCCCAGCCAAAAATACGTTTTTAAGACCCAGTGAAGACAACATTTCTGTACTTTTAAAATGTAATGACATAATATAGACTAGAACATTATTGCATTTTTCCAGTGTTGCACTGTGTATTTTCCAAGGCTTACCATTTGGATAACAACTTTGGTACAATAAAGTCATGGTATAATATCTTTTTTCCCTTTAGATGGACACTTTTGTAAATCCTCTTCGCAATTCTATGAGGAATGTTTCAAACGCAGTTAAATCCCTTCCTGATAGCTTGGCAGAGGGAATGACTAAAATGTCAGACAACATGGGCAAAATGTCAGAAAGATTAGGTCAAGACATAAAGCAATCATTTTTTAAGGTAAGAAGACATTTTCAGTAATGTCTAAAGCAAATTATTTTTAAGCCAACTACCATGTATTGAATTTTGGCTGGATTTACCTTATTCCCCTAACCTTATTTCTTTTCCAAACTTTGCTAGACATGTAGTCTCATAAAGAATAAAAAACTAAAGAGAAAAATTCTTACCAGAAATGGATATAAAATCCAGTTACTTGTTAGTCTCTGCTATGGTAGGATTTTAAAATTCATTCAAAATAAAAGCTTAAAATTAGTAAAGTTAACATCCTTTGTCTTGTTTTATTTCATTATGCCATTTTTATCATAAAGTACTACTAAATTTAGCAGCAAACAAATACTGTTGTGCAAATGAGTTATACTATTATTCACTCAGGAAGCACAAAGTTTTATTTCTCCTGTTTTACGTGATAGAATAATTACTAGATCAAAGAGAAGAAAAGTTCATCATTACGATCAATTTCTGTGGCCATGCATTACTGGATATAGACCTCTATGTGTCATAGAAGAATTTCCCAGGGAGATTTTTTTAAATTACATTAACAGATAAAGGTATTATACTGTGTAGTTTGTTGAATTCCTAATTAATATTTTAAAAATTGTTTTGACATAGTTATTTGAAGTTGTAGTCAGGGCTATAAAACATATAGCTATTAGACCTTTGTACTTGATCACTCTTGAATGTAGGGGAAATGTATATAAACATAGGTTTTATTTAATGTAAGAGGCCACTTCTAAAATTGTGTAAATCATACTTTTCTGTTAACTTTCACACTTTCTCTGATGCCCCTCTTTTGTTTCTATTTGGGAGGAAGAATACTACCACTGAAATCAGGATTGTTTAGTCCTACTTCGGCTGCTCATTACTCATTTTGTACTTCGTACAAAAAACACAGAATTTTTCTAGACTTCTATGTTGTCACCAGTAACTTGAGATGGCCCTAACAATCCTTCCTGTGCCAACAAATGATTTTCAGCTAATAGTGATCTTTCTGTCCTTCTCTCCATTCAAACATTTTGTTAATTTTTTAAACATATTAACATACTATCGAAAGCTATATATGGTAAAAAGAAAGAAGATTGGAGCTCTGTTCCCTGGCAGTACTACTAACTACAGTCGTGCATTGCATAACAAGAGGGATACATTCTGAGATCTGTGTCATTGGGTGATTTCATCATCGTGGGAACATCATAGAGTGAATTTACACAAACCTAGATGTATGTGTAAGTTCCACAGACCTACTTTTCACCTAGGATATATAGTATCGCATATTGCTCCTAGGCTACTAACCTGTACAGCATGCTACTGTACTGAATACTGTAGGCATTTTAACACATTGGTACACATTTGTGTATCTAAATATATCTACACAGAAAAAATACTGTAAAAATATAGTATTATAATCTTATGGGACTACTATGGTATTGTTGAACAAAACGTCGTTATGCGATGCATGACTTTTGGCTTTCAAGTCATTTAACCTTTCTTAGCTTTGAATTCTTCTAAAAAATATGGGAGTTTGACAAAATAATTTTTCCTTACAACTCAAAAGTCATTTCTTTTGTAAAGGACAAAAACTTTTTGGTAATGAAATAATCACCGTATATTTGGTTTCCAATTTTAGATTGTTAAATTTTGCTTATATATTGTATTAAAAGTCAAATGCTGATACTCATTTAGATTTATTATTGTGTTGTGTTTCACTATCTGCTTTAGTGTGTTTACATTGTGGGTTTGGTTTTTGTTTTTAGGTGCCTCCTTTAATTCCGAAGACTGATGCAGACCCTGAACATCGCCGAGTTGCAGCTCAACTTGACGATAATGTGAGTTAATTTTATTCTTGGTAGTATTTAGTTTAAATCATACTCGGCGTATCTTTTTAGCTTTTTAATGAAGTGTAATATGTATATATATCATTATTGTTCACATATTATAAGTGTTAAGCTCGATGAATTCTTACATATTAAACATGCCCATGTAATTAACACTAATCAAAAAACAGCATGGCTACTACTCCAGAAAAGCCCCTCATCCTCTGCTCCTGTTAGGACCTTCTCTTGCACCAAGGACTATCACTATCCTAACTTCTACTCTACTTTTATACTTTTTATGTATGAAACTGTAAGGTACATATTCTGTGAAGTCTAGCTTTTTTTGCTCAACACTGTGATGTTCTTCCATGTTTTGTTTGATTGTAGTTTCTTCATTCTTGTGGCTTTATATTATTCCATTTTGTAAATACAGTACAATCTATTTGTTGTATAATGAATACTACTTCTATGAACCTTCGTCTGTACATGTTTCTGTTGGATGTATACTTAGGAATGAAACTGCTGTATCAGAGGATATATATAAGTTCAGTTTTAGTAGATACTGCCAAGTACTTTTTCAAATTGTACCACTTACAGTGCCACCAGCAGTACATGAGAGTTCAGTGTTTTACATCCTGCCAATACTCAGTATTTTGTCTTTTTAATTTTAGCCCTTCTCATTGTATTTCATGTGAATTTGCATTTCTATGATAACTCTTGAAATGTTGAACACCTTTTCATATGTTTATTGGCCATTTGAATGTCCTGTCTTATGTGTCTGTCAAGACCTTTTGTTATTTTTTTGTTGGCATGGCTATCTTAGTCCTTTTGATTAGTAGGAGTGCTTTATGTAATCTGAATGTGAGTTCTTTGTCAGATACATGTAATGTATTGTCATCCACTCTCTGTGTTGCTTTCTTGTGCTATGTATGCAATCTGTGCCTATTTCTGGGTCACAGAGCTGTCCTAGAACTTTCTTTAAAAATCTTTTTTTTGTTTTTCTGTAACAACATTTAGGTCTGCAGTTCATCTGGTATTGGTGTTTGTATATGGGTTGAGGTATGGGTCGAGTTGATCCAAGCACCATTTACTGAAAAGGTCATCTTTTCAGTACTTTACTATTTCTCCCTTATCACAAACAAGATTATTGTACATGTTTGGATCTGTTTTTGGACTATGTATTATGTTTTATTAGGCAGATTTATTTTAAGGTTATAATTATCTCCTTTGAGTTTCTGACTGAATTTGTATATAATAAGCTATCTTAAAAATAATATATTTATTTGCTTTTTCAAGATTATTTTAAGATGTTTTATTGTGTTTATTGATGGTGTAATATCCATAACATTATACCTTTTAGTATGTGGTTTTTACAGTTTAGCTGTTTATTTTTTTTAGGCACCATACTCGTAGGAATACACTTGATCAGAGAATAGAGAAGTTTATTCTGTCCCAGTAATGAAATGGGTCTCCCTCTCCCACTGGTTTTGATTGAGCTGTGTGATTTCAATTTGTGGACCGGAAGGTGCACTAAGGCAGTGTTTACAACATGACAGTGAAAAATGTGTGACTCATGCTTTCTTGCTAGTATTTACATGTGTTGATGAAGAAATAATTGGAAACAGTTTATTGGTGATGAAGGAATTATAAAATTACCAGCAGTTGTACGTTGTACTAAATCTGTACCTGCTTTTTACTTGATACATATTTTTTCACATCAAAGAATTCCAATTGCCTTCCTTTACTTTTTACCTTACTGATTGTATACTCACATAACAACAGTGTGCTGATTTTTGTTAAAAGCTAAAAGAAAATTCTAGTAATTTAGTAAAATATGCCTTTTGTAATGTTAATTTAGTTTAATGCTGGATTGAACTTCAGCATCTTTTTTCCTGAAAGTACATAAATACATACAATTTACTAACTAAGCAAAACACATTATTCTTTAAAGATCATGTTTTGTTCTATTAAATATATGGAGATGTTGAGAATGTCTTATTCTTATGAAAAAGATGCATCAGAAAATAGACAAAGGGTCTAACATTTGCCTTGTCAAATTCATACAACCTCTACCAAAAGAAAGAACCAAATCGTCTTTTCCTAGGACAATCATGAATCTACTTTGCCTTGAAAATGTTAAAACTATAGCCTTAAAACTTATTCTTCATTGTGGCGCTGTGAAGTTCTGTATTCTCTCAGAATGACTACTAGAAGTATTTTTTCTAAATTAGAATTAAATGTCAAATTATAAAGGCTAGAATTTAACTTGTTCTCTGACTTGTGAAATAATACCAGTCATCTGTAAATGAAACAAAAGTAACCGTTCATAGTAGATAGCTAACTCAAATTTGTTCTTATTTTTTCCCATGTCTTGTCAGGTGGATGACAATATTCCACTTAGGGTAATGCTGCTTCTCATGGATGAAGTATTCGACTTAAAAGAAAGAAATCAGTGGTTGCGAAGGAATATCAAAAACCTACTTCAACAGCTTATTAGAGCTACATATGGTGATACTATTAATAGGTACCACTCTTTCCTCCTCACTTTTAATCTGATCTTAGCCTTTAAACTTCTACTTCTGGAAGTAGCTTGCTCAACCTTTGTAGGAGAATTTTTTTCTCTGGGCCTTTTAAGAAGTTCATTAAAGCAGTCTGTTGCTCTTACGGATCATTTACATCCAAATTAAGTTGCTTGCTCCATGAGAGTCATGTTTATTTTTTTCATCTTCTAAAATTTTAACCTTACTCATTTATACTTCTTTACTTTCAGAAAAATAGTTGACCATGTTGATTGGATGACTTCACCTGAACAAGTAGCCGACTCAGTGAAACGTTTCAGGTATATCTTAAGACACAGTCACTTCTTTCAGGTAGTACAGAGTTTAGCATTGTTATCACTAATTAACTTTCATTGCTTTTGTTTCCTTCCTGGACATAAAGTTGGTTTGTTTATCATTGACGAGCAAAAAGACTTAAAAGAATTATAATAAACGTTTGTCTCATGAACCTATTGGTCTTTGTTTCTTTAAAATCAGAATTGGAAAAGTATAGAAGAAAGATCTTTCAAATGATAGGCTATTATTTTATTGCAGTACCGTGGCTGTAAGGTAATTGAAATATTTACCTAAAAATGACATGGTTATATAATCAAATATCTAGTTTTGCAGATTCGTTTTTCTCAGTTGTATTTGCTAAGCTTCATTTTAACTGAAAATTTTTAAAGTATGTCTTTCTAGCTGTAATATTTTATTAAATATTGGAACCTATGCAAGGAACCCAAATTAAGTAGATACTCTACTTCATATGTTCTTTCTACAAAAAATACTGAGCCGCTCCTCTGTGCCTACCACTCAGCCGATTACTGAGATAAGATGCAGTCCCTTGAGGAAAGTATAGCTAGTAGAGAAATAAACTCCTTCTAAAAGTGAAGATAAGCAATGCATAAAAATTCATGGCATCACATATTTTGAAAGGAAGGAAAGGAAGCAAGAAGGGAACTGTCTGTATTGAACAGTAGCTAAGTTCTTGGCATGGTGCCCAGTACTTTATGTATGCTTTCCGATTTTATGCCATTTTACAAGGTAAGTATTTTTGTTATAAGGAAATTGAAGATTAGAGGCATTGAATAGGCTCTCAGGTTAGTAAGTGGGGAATCTGGTTTCTCTAATCTGAAGCTAAATTTCTCCCTACTATACTATACTGTTTCCAAAATTTGGACTACCTGCCCTGGCATGTTCATTTTATGTCAGGATAGGTAAATGATGTTCCTCTGGAGCAGTGATTCTCAGCTTTGGCTGTTCATTGGAATCACCTGTAGAGCTTTAAAAATTACTAATTCCTGGATCCCATATCCAAAGAGTCGGACTTAATTAATCCAGCGAAAGGTCTGATTCTTTACAGAAAGATTCTTTAAAGCTCTCAGGTATTTCTGATGTGCAAAGTTAAGAACAGCTGCTCTGTGGAGTCTTACCCTCACACCAAATTCCCAGATGAAAGCTTAGTTTTTGTGCTCAGTTCCTACCTTCAGACCAAGAATTAGGGAACATGAGTAAAGCACACTGAAAGTTAAGACGGGTGGACTGTTGTATGTGTGAAAGGACCATTTTAGTCAATCTATCTGTAAGGTGTGGACCTGGAATTTAGTTTAGTTTTATGTAGGCTTAATTATAAGACGAGTAGGATGGCATAACTGAAGGAGATAGCTGTTAAACTCTAAGGCATTGAAATTCAAGATATTGTAGGGTTGCATTTGGATGAGATATTCAATCAGCAGATGCCCACTTTGTGTTTAAATGACTGTGATATAGCCATCTATGTATTCCGTTTTTCTGTCTTTGTTAGTGTTAATGAACTGCCTTGGTGCAGAATTTATCTGTTACTTTTTTCTTGTGTTTTTTTAACCCCTGAAATTGAACCCCACACTTAGTTCATCTTTGTTGAATTTCATTATACCTATATATTAATACAATTTCAGAAGCTTTTCTTCTTTCTGTTCACATTTGTATTTTCTGTAGAAATTTGAAATAATTTTATCAATTTGTATCATTAGAAATTGAAAATGTTTACAAAATATATTTAATCTTCTCAAATAGAGATGCATTTTGGCCAAATGGCATTTTAGCAGAGACTGTTCCATGCAGAGATAAAAGTATTCGAATGAGAACAAGAGTAGCAGGAAAAACGAAATTACTTGCAATTATGCCAGGTGAGTGGGCATGCATAGTTAAAAATCCCTTTAATTTGTCATTCTTCTGAATTTTTAGCATTTTTCATGCCAGTGTAACTGCCTTTGAATTATAACAACTATCTTTTGATGGCTTAATACATACCAGGCACTGTGCTAGGCATTTCTCATACATTCTTAACCAGTCCTCCTAACACTACTATAAAGGTAAGGACTGTTAACAACACCTCTTTATATGTGAGGAAACAAATTCAGAGAGGTTAAATAATCTATCCAAAGTTTATAGCTACTAAGCAACAGTTGGTATTCTGACTCAGCTTTAAGTGATATGAAAGCTTATGCTTTTATCCACTTCGCTTCGCTGCCTGGAAGCATTTTGGGAGTCAAGTTGTTAAATTAATAAAATACATGACAGGTGAAAGGGCTAATAAAATAATATAAAGTTTGAATTTTTCAGGAAGAATATTTGTTCCACTAAGGAGAACAAACAAATCATTTCAAAGACTCCATTTATGTAGAAACAACAGATTGGTCGATTATTAATCTTTATTAATTAAAACATAATCCCAAACAAAGTATAAATAGTAGTATTTTGTTGGTCTGATTTTAGTTACTTCATTAGGTTACACCTGTCGCACTACCTTAGATTTACTTTTTCTCATTTTTCTTCTTTCATTCAGAGAAGTTATATAATGTGAAAAGCAATTTAATGTGACTGGGAGGTGGTGATGGTTGTTTTGCCCCTTGTTAATTAATATCTTTGAAAATGCCTACATGTCTTTTCTCTGTATTTTAATTCTGGATGTAGTAAGTAAACAGATTTGTAAGTTATTTAATCACACAGTACCTATTTTTTTGCTATAATTTTGTCTTATAATTCAGAACTCCTAATTTCTTCCTAAATTTTAACGATCAGCTTTCTCTTTTGACAATTAGAAATTTCCCACATGATTTTAATCCTACCTGTATACTGTTTCATTTGCTAGTAAAAAAGCAAATTATAGAAATAACATTTTAGAAAAATAAGCAATAGCTTAGGATATTATTTAATATACTATTATGGTAAACCTGATTGTGCCATATAGACCGACTCAGTTAATCAGCTGGAAGAAATCTTTATTCACTAAATATTTATTGAAAGTTATGTGCCAAGCAGTGTTCTGTAGGCTTATGTTTGCCTTCTTGGAGCTTACTTTCTAATAGAGGAACTCAAAAAGACACAAAACAAATAAATGCAACATAGTATGTTAGATATGTGGTAAGTACTAAAGAGAAAAATAGTGCAGGAAAAGGGAATAAGCAGTGTTGGATGAGTTGCAGTTTTAGATGGGGTGGCCAGGGCAGGCCTCACTCAGAAGATAACAGTGGTGTGAAGATCTGAAGGAAGTGAGGGTACATATAAAAGTTTATGAATGTATATATATATAGTCCTTGCCTTTTTTTTAGTAAATTCTTAAAATTTTTGCTTTAAATTATATTGTACCCCTAGTTAGATAAAGACTTTTTGGAAGTTGCGTGTTTCTTTTCAAAGCAGCAAAATAATATTTATATTATCAGGGCCTTGATTATGAACAGTTAAGAATAATCATACATGTTGGTCTCAAAGATCTGTAGTAACTTGCTGTTATTTATGAATAAATGCCAGCTTTCCAACCTTACAGTCACAGCACCATCACCTTTCTCTTTTCTCCACTTTCTTTTATAGGAATCCTCAATAAAATTCAACCAAACTTGTACTATCCCCATTTCTTGAACATGCTTTGTTATTCTAGTTACTGCTTATTTACTCATTCATGTTCTTTTCACCAAGACTAATACGTCATCTCATTGCATCTTTCAAAGTCCTGCCCAAGTAGAAAGTCTACTTTACCTGTCACTTCGTTAAAGCGAACTTTTCTTTGTTACCATATCTGGAAGTCTCCCCACTATAAATATTCGTACACTTTTAGTATTTGTATGCCTTGGTTATTATGTCAAGGGTTTTTGTAGGTCAGGGATTAGGTTTGTTTTTTTTTTTCCTGTGTTCCAGTGAAACTTTATTCACCACCATGGATTAGTTTTTTTTTCTTATAGCATCTTTCACTATTCATTAGGCATAATAAGAATATTTTTAGAATGTTACAAAGTTTACAGATCACTTTTCACATGATCTCGTTAAAGACTTATAAATCCTTATAGTTACAAGGATGTTTGTTACTATAAATCCTCCTTTTCAGATGAGGAAACATAGGGTGGTGGGTAAGTATCACATGGGTATTAAGGGACAGGTTTGGGATCTTGGAGACTTTTGCATAAGTAGCTTTTGCATAAGTGGGTAGATAGATGCATGCATGCAAAGATGCATATTAAGTTTCAGCTATAATACATAGCTGAAATGCATTAACTGGTTACCTACCATTGATCAGTTACTCTGCTGTGTACCTTAATTTAGGAGCATTTAAGAATTTAGACCTTGTGTTTCCTTTAAGTAATGAGTTATGTGTATTTTCCCCCTCTTCATTTAGATGAACTGAAGCACATTATTGGGGCTGAGACAACACGGAAAGGTATTCTTCGTGTTTTTGAAATGTTTCAGCACAACCAATTAAATAGAAGAATGGTTTATGTCTTCTTGGAAGGCTTTTTAGAAACCTTATTTCCACAGTATAAATTCCGTGACCTTTTCAACAGACTGCATTCACGGTCAAAGCAGATGCAGAAATATAAACAGAAACTTCAAACTACTCAAGCGCCTTCTTTACAGAAAAGGTGACACTCCACTCTATGAAGCTGGTGTTCATTTTGTCCAGGACTAATGGTATGGACAGATCTTCTGGGGCTTAACTCATATACTGTTGTGTCTGCACCAGTCTTTTAGTGTCTCAAAATAGATTATTAATACATCCATAAGTCTGTGGTTCTTCTCATTCTCATCTATAATCCACTACCAAGAGAGATTTCCATGTCTTAAATGATTTGGTGCATATTTTGCAACATTGAGAGGATAATGCCCCCATCTCAAGCAAGAATAGTGTTGGTTTCTTCCATTTCAAACTAATCAGCATTCTCCAGCAATGACAAAGTGCCAGAGTGTATATATGAAAGCTGAGGAAAGCACAAAACAGTGGTTCACAGATAAATTGGCTAATTTGTTTAACAGTTGGAGACTGTGTAATATACGATTTGGAGGAATTTGTTTTGCATAATTTTGTAGGCCTATGTCAGCATTTTGATATATCACGGATTAGCCAGGTGAATAATCCTTGGAACATCTCTTTCAGGTCTGGGGAAAGAGACAGAATGCCCTTAATGTGTGAAATAACCTTATACCTGAATTATAGTTTTGTGATATAAAATGAAGCTGAGTATAAAATAAAACCAATCAAACCCAGAATTTGATTGGATTTGTTATTCATTGATATACAACAATTTTTATTCTTATGTGTGCCTTAAGGGCTGTGTTGTGCTCTTATGGTACTCAATTTTATGTTTTCTTTTGACATTGTTGTGCAAAAAGAAGCCATATGGTGGCTCTCATTTAAATTTCAAAATTATTAGTTTTATCTTTAACAGATTACTGATTATACAAAAGATATAATTTATTGGAAGAACTGCCAAATACATTTTGTCCTTCTAAAAATACAGAAATTTAAATAGTAGTCTGGAAAGTTACCATATGATAATTTTTAATTGTGTGATCTAGACATGCCTTAGGTAACTGCAGAAATAGCAAATTAAATGATTAATGAGCTTATTAGTCATAGTAAACATACAAATTCCTAATTCTATGACAGTGTACATATATGAAAATAAATGATGAAAACTATAATATTTTTAAAAATATGCTTTTATTTATATTTCACATAATGTAAAATTCTACAAAATAAAGCTAGTAGGCAAAACCCCTCCGTGTATACCTTTAAATCCATAAATTAATTTTATACCAATAAAACAAAATACCTTCTCTAGTTTTGGAGCTTCTGTATTTCCTATAGTTTTCTCACTCTCCATTTTGTCCATCTTAGAAGTCCTCATATCCCTTCTATGCAAGATTTCTGCATAGTTTTAAATACTTTCATTGACTAAGGGTTTGGGTGTGTCAGCTTTTTTTGTTTTAAAAATATTTAACACTAAAACCTTAAAATAGTGAAGCTACTTATCAGACTGCTGAGCCAAGATCCTGGTATTAAAAGAAAGTCTGGGTGCTTAAGGTAAAGGGACAGAGTATTGGTATCCCAGTTATTTGGGAGCTTTAAGATTGGAAGAAGATATTACTGTCTTGTTTTCACTTAGATCCTACTTACGAAGTGCGGCCTATTAACAGAATGAAGCCTTCCTTTAAAGCTTTATAATAATCATATTTATTAATAATGCTGTTGTGCATACTTATAGTATGCATATATTCAACATATGTTGCATGTCTTCAGAATTACATAAAATGAAATCCCTTTCATTGCAACTTGCAAGTGAGAAAAGATCCTTAGTGGCTCAGAAGGAAGAAATAACATTTCTTCTTCTTAGGGTGTCTCCCTGCCTTGGCCTCTTTCTGAGCCCCAGGCTTTAAAAGTGAAGATGTGTGAAACATGTCTGTAGGAAGCAGCAGCATGGCCATAAGTGCAGTGATTTTCATATATGCCACTGCTCATTTCAAGTTTATTTTTGACATGAATAAATCTAAGAGTATACAGAATAACTGAAGTAAGAGCCTGGCATGTACCTGTGAAAAGCATTTCTCTATCATGTGAGGAGCACTGGCCATCAACCAGGGAAAGAAAGGTCATGTAGTATTGCAAATTTTCAAAATAGAGCCCTGCAAGATAACTTCAGTCATACCAAAAACTATTTGAGTAAATGGATTTTTAAGGTAATTTCTGTTTAAAAGAGTTTATATTTCAGAAGAGGAAAATATCAAATGATAGTCTTTGTAAATGGTGGTGCATCTTCTCTATGCACATCTGTATTTACATCCGAAAGAGCTGTGGTCATGGTAAAATTAGAGATACTTTTTGAATGACTTGGTCAAGCTGTGTGTAAAATATTTAAGCATAAGTCAAGTACAGTGTACTATGTTTAATAAAGTTATTACATTTAATGCATTTATTGCATATATGAATATATACATGAAGAGGTTGTATGTCTTCTGGTATTTAATTTTGAATGTTTTTTTAAGTCAGTGGTGCCTTTAGGCAAGAACTTTCCAAATTAATCATTCTTTATGTTTTCTAATTTTTCAGGTAACATGTGAACTATTTAGAAACCATAATAGTTTATTCACCTTAAAAGTTGATTGTATTATTTAAATATATCACTTAGATGGGCATTTCCTATGATTAGGATATTCCAAATAGTTGCTGAAATCAATTGTGCCATTGACCAATGGATGCACTTGGTTAGCCTTAATTTTTTTTAAAAAACAAAACATTAAAAACTTTCTTGAGTATTTCAGTTTGTTCATTTTAAGTTTGTGCTGCTGGTGTTTGGAAAAAAATCAAACAGTTAAGTGCTACCAGAAAGTGTACCAATTTTTATAAAAATTAAGAATAATGTAAATTTCACAATATAAAATTTTAATTTTGTGCAATATTTTCATTTAATGCATGTGTATTTGAGTAATTGTAAGATAAATGAATTTTTAATTTTTTGAGATGTAGCTTAAACTGTCTTCTTAATTCAACAACCTACATTCCGTTGTTGCTGCATCCTTTCATTTAAGGACTTGTTTTAAAAGTCTTTTGTCACTCCTTGGAAAATTATTTTATTAGTAGTAAATTTTGCTTATAGGAGCATGGCTCCTGTATTACAAGGGAAAAAATATAAAGAGCACATTTTAGGATTATAATTGTTGAAAGATAATGTGTGCATATCATTGTACAGTGTCAACTGTGTGCCTAACTGTTCTATCAGTACTTTCCTTCTTTGACAAAGAAGAAAAAATCAGAATGTCAGTTATTTTTATTCAACTAAAAAGATTAAAAATTTATTTGGTTTGTGTTCTGTCCATTAGAAAATACTAATAAAGTATTAACAAACATTTTTGTTGAGTTTATTTAGTAGTAATGTATTTCTGTTACTTTTAAGATGCTTGCTCAGTAGTCTGGTTTTTAGTATCTGTTTGTATTTCATTTTCTTTTAGAGATAACCAATTCGGGTTCCAGATTGACAAATGAGTGCTTGGGTGATTACTGACTTAAACGGACTGAATTTAATTTTTTCTTTTATGGCAAATAATTTAGGACCACAATGTTAAAGACACTTCATACTTCATCATCATGTAAAATTATGAAGTATTTTTCCCACAGACGGAAAGATTTATAATTAATAATCTATTAATTTTATTTGATCTCATTTTAAATTCCTATTTTGGCTAATATTTTAGACTTCTTCAATTCTAAAAGACAGTAGATTGGTCATAATATTTGTATCCTTCTTAGAGCTGTATCAGCAGACTTCTAGGGCATCAGATGTGATAACTTCTGGCCCAGCAGGGATTGGTATAATATTTCTTAAAATGCGTATGGTAAAATATTGTTTCCTTTAAGATGTTCCTGAGGGGTGTGTTTTGTACTTATATGTAACTTATACAGGACTATCTGTATATGAACCAAAAAGCAGAAATGTTCCTTCATAATTCAAATGATAGTGTCAAAAATTCTGAGACGTTGTGTAAGAAACTTGTTTAACTTTGCTTACTTAATTTCCTAAACTTAGTTAACCACAGAATCTTTTGTCATGAACAGCTTGAGGATGATGTTCTCAAGTAATGTATTTTGGAAAATCTTTAGTAGGAGACAAAAAAAGGCGAAGTGTATTTAGTTACGGAATGTAAACTGGACAGAAAAGACAGCGGATTTGGAGCACAAAGATTTTTTTCCTGCCTGCCGTTTTAATGGAAAGTTCCATCTTTGGAAGAAAAGGGAAAGATGGAAAAAGGTAAAAGATGAAAAGTTAACAGCTGATTATATAGCAGATATTAAAGAGTTAAATGTGGTTCTGAATACCAGAATAATGACTTCAGTGAAGAATAATAGAGCACATCTCATAAGAAGTGGGAAACAGACTTCTACAGATTTTGCTAATGTGACCAGAAGAGTAGTAACTGGAAAATGCAAGGGGAAGAAGGAAATGCCATACAGTTTAGTTTATATTTGTGCTAGACATTGGCCCATATATAAAATGACAGGTAATATGTTTGATTTAGGAAAACCTGCAGCAAGTTGAGAGTGAAAATGAAACTTAACACGTGTTTACGAATTCCCTGTGTGAGAGATGCATTAAACATGATCTTTTACATATCCTCAAGAGTGAAATGAAACAATAGAACTATGTGTTAGGAGTTTTTTCCCTTGGTGATCGACTAGGAGGGCTTACAGAACTCAGCATATAATCATAGCTAAGATTTATTATGGCAAAAGGATACAGAACAAGAGCAAAAAGAAAAAGTGCATGGATGAAGTCTGGGGGAAAGCAGGCTCAAGCTGCCACTGCAGTCTCCCAGTGGAGTCACACAAGATGCAACTTAACTCCCCAGCAAGTAGTTGTGACAACACCTGTGAAAAGTTGCTATTCAGGGATGCTCATTGGACGCTTGGTGCCTAGGGTTTTTATTGAAGGCAGTTTATTTAGGTACACTTTGCCTGGCACATAACAATTCCAGACTCAGAAAACTGTGTTCAGCATACGGCATGTCTTTGGTACAGTTTAGGCTTACTGAGCCACATTAGTTTTGGGAATTGGTAGGAATACTCCTAAAATTCTCAAACACCTGAGGACAAGGGCCAACTTTGTAAGCAGGTCTCCAAGGAGATCAGTCAAGCCTCCTATGTTAACTCTTCTGTATGACTGTATAACTTGATCAAAGGAAATGGATAATAGTAAGTGATGTTGAAAGTCTGTAAGATTTATCCTTGTGTTGAAGCCTCCACATCTAGAGATGGAAACATGGCAAAGGAAATTTTGATGTAATAAAAGGACAAACTATTGAAATGATATTGATATGGATATGTATTGCAGTCTGAAAAACTGGAGGAATCTTTCCAATAAAGATTACCATAGCAAACAGTTATATGGCACTTAATAGTCACAACAGCTTTAGGCGTTATAGGTACTGTTTCATCTTCAGTTTATACATGGGCAAACTAAGAGTAGTTGAGTCAGTTTGTTAAAAGGTTCACAACTGATAACTGGTTATGAAGCTGAAATCTCAACCCAGGTGGGCTGACTAGAGTCTGTTGTGATTTCTCAGCAGTGGCACTATTGACATTTTGGGCTACGTAATTCTTTGTTGTGGGAGCTTTCCTGCACATTATAGGTAATGCATTAATTTACTTATTCTGTCTATTAGTAACTAATATTTGAGAACATTTACAGTAGTAATGGAATTAATCTAAGAGAAGTTCAACTTAATTTTTTTAAACATCTCAATGCCAGGTATTAAGAGATATTCAAAATAATTGTGATCAAGATTATGTTGAAAACTAATAAATGCTTAATGTTAATATGTCTACATAAAATTCTGTTTTTGGTGTAATATTCTTAGGCTATTAGAAAAAAAACATGGTTTACTTCACTAGGAGGAATATCTCTTAATGCTGAGATGGCCTCCTCCCTGGGCTCTGCCCATCAGGTGATGCCAATAGCACCTCTTCTCCCATAATAACAACCAAAAATATTTGTGTACATTGCCAAATGATGTGAGGCTGCGGTGAGGGCTGGCAAAAACACCACCAATTGAGAACTACTGACCTTAGTTGTCAGTCACAAAAACAAGGTAAGTAGAAGATTGAATTCTGGATTGCTGAATGTCTTCTCTGTTTACGCAATTACCTGACAAATTTGTGGCTTGCATTGTAGGGAGAATGTAAATGTAAATAGAATGCCTACTTCTGCCTTAAAGGGAGGAGAAGGCTTGGGACAGCAAACCCAAATTTCTTACCTTGCCTAAGCATCCCACAGTTGGGGGAGGTGGGTAGGGAAGGGACTTACAACCTAATATAAATAAGGAAAAGTTTTTCAAGATGTTTGAAGATGTGAGGTAAATGATTACAGTACATGAAAAAATTGTTGGCTAATTGCTGGCTAATAATTGTAAGGCTAATTATTTTAATAATAATGGTTCTTGTGAAAATTTTTCTTTCAAATAACTGTTGTCCTTTTATTTGTGAGCCAGTCCTCTTAAAGCCTGAAAATTTTCTTGCAGCCTTCTTTGCAAGCAAACTCTTTCCTAAATGCTTTTGTCTGAGTTTTTTCCTTTGACAGGTGGATGTTCCATTGGGAATGCCCAGGTGACTCACCTGCTGAGCCAGCTTTGCCTCACTGGCTGTTTACATCCAGGCTCACCTTGCCTCCAGGGATGAACCCCATCAACAATTAGAGCCTTTACACTTGCTGACTGTTTTCCACTTTCCCTTTCTCATCCTTCTTTTTCTGGGTGTTGGTGAAGTCTCATTCTGGTTTTGATTAGTGGATAGCTGTTTTATTTGTCAATTGGTGGAAGCAGTAGTGTTGGGGAGCTGACTTTTGTGGTCTGACCTAATTTTCTGTCAAGCAGCTGTTTATCTTTCTGATTGCCTTCGTTTCTTCAAGACTCTTTATATCAACTGGCATCTTAGGCCAATATCTTGTCTCTCCCGTATGACTAAATTCATGTTGCAGTCAGTTTCTTCTGCCAGTGGCAGAATCCTTCATGTTTCTTGTCTGTTTACATGGTACTATGATCTTTAAACAGTATTCAAGAAAATAGTTTTCATGCTTCCTGGAAAGAAAACATCTTTCAACTATCCTTTGTGTCTGATCTTCCTCCTCCAATAAGTCGGTGAGTTTTGTTCCTTCTTCTTTATTAAGGATAAAGGCATGTGTGTGTGCAAACAAAAGAGAATACTTCTCTCCTTGTAAAGTGTGTGTTTGTATGTGTAAATGAAAGAAAAGACTTCTCTCTCCTTGTAAAAGCCTTTTACAGATGTTTATACTTGTAGCACTTCCTGTATTTGCAGCTGGCATTTACCCACTTTATGATCTCTCAACTGAAAATTAATTGGACATAAAAACTGATCATTTCTATACACTACCAGGGGATATCTAATTTAAAAATACAGATTAACCATCAAATATGAGAGAGTGATGTGGGGATTTAAGTAAAAAATCGAAATTAGTTTTACATATTTGTAAAGACTTGAGATTTAAGAATTTTCCTTTAAAAAATTATGTCAATGAATACATAAGTATAATGCAATGAGACAGCAGACTGAATGGGAAAATTACTTCTGGCATTTCTGGAGCTTCCTGACGGGCTAAGCAATCTAAAGGGTGTTGGGTTGCTTGGATTTTTCTTTCTCCTTTCTTTAAAAAAAGAAAAAATGTCCCGTAAAATAAAATGAATCAAATACAAATCAGATGGTCTGAAAAAGCTTTGTGTTTAAAAACAAAACACATAAATACTGAAATGGGAAGAATTTGGCACTAAACCCCTCCAGAGTGTCCTAGTTTGCCCAAATGTTGAATAGAAGTATTTTATCATATGGGTATACAGTATTTTCTAAATACATTTGTTAATAAACTTGCATACCTTTGCTTCTTTCCAGAGATAAGTAACAAAGTAGGTTTTAATGTCTCTTAAATTTAATGGAGCTCTGTATCCACTCCAAATCTCAATGTTGCCCCATTGTTGGAGGTGGGGCATGGTGGAAGATGGTTGGATCATGGGGGCGTATCCTTCATGAATGGCTTGGTGTTAACCCCTTGGTGAAGAGTGAGTTCATGTGAGACCTGGTTGTTTAAAAGGTGTGTGGTACCTCCTCCTCTTCTCTCTTGCTCCTACTCTCACCATGTGACAATCCTGCTCCCGATTCAGCTTCTGTGATGACTAAAAGTCCCCTGAGACCTCCCAGAAGCTGAGCAGATGCTGCTTGAACAGCCCACAGATCCATGAGCCAATTAAACCCCTTATCTTCATAAATTACCCTGTCTCAGATACTCCTTTATAGCAATGCAAGAACAGTATAACACAAGCTCCTAATTTGATTGGCATAAACAGACGAAGTAAGACTTGTG